CTACCTCCATTTGCTGTTTTCTTCTCGTTGCTGTCTCTTCGTGTCCTCCATCTACTAGGTTGGTGGACCCACAAGCCCAAACTTCCTTCATTCCCTACTAGGTATCAGAGAATGCTCTAAGATACACTATAATCTTCCAAAATATCTTGAGTTTAGCTTCCTCTAGTTCACTGCTACTCCCTTTTCATGTCTCCTCTCATTTGTCCTTAGCTGATCACCCTAATCTCCACTTCTTCAGTGCTGTATGGTACTAGATTGTAAACCTTATATATGGAGATTTCTCTCCTCTGGGTTTAATATTAACACTAAAAATCCTGTCTGAACTTTCCGCACAGTGCTATACACCCTTTCTAGCAAATCTTTCTTCGGACACGTGCACACTCTTTTCGAGAGTGCAAATGAACTGTCCAAAGGGGCATGTTGGAAAAATGTTCTCGTTAGTTATCAGAATGTCTGATTTTTGTTTAATTAGTAGAGAATTCACCCAATAAAAAGTGACTGATTAAGTCTGCGCACGATCGGAAACAGGTTACAACCATAGACATATACATAGTCCATAGATACATGAGAAGTTGTCCTCTTGTTCGAGAATTTTCATACTATTTTAGGTATTCTCATTTTCAACATGGTAGAAGGACAAAGGAAAAAGCAAATAATTGTTTGATGATTTTCAAATAATGTGTACTAGGCTTTAGAAATATGGACACCTATTTAAGAACTGTAAATCCATTTGCTGGCTGCACTGTACGATACTCCTCCAACTTTTGCACAAACCTCAGTGTGTCAGTTACACTTAAGACCATTTTATTGCTCTGTAATGCTGCAAGTTACAAATAAATTATGTTAAAAGCAGACAACAAACATAATGTGAAGAAACCAGACACCTGGACCTTGAGTAGGTGGAGGAAAAGGAACAGTCCCCATAAATTCAGCATTTCAGTTTTGGGTAGAGGCTGTTGGTTTCAAAGATTTTTGTGAGCTCCAGCAAAAAAAAAAAAAAGTCACATTCATACATCTGTGCTTTAACAGCCCCTTCATTGAAGCCCCCTATAATAGAACTTTCACCAGAACAGGAATAGAGAGTAAAACTTCCAACAAGAAAACAAAAAAGTAAATAAATCTTGCTTTCACCACCCTCTTGTTTAAGGATGACACATTATTCGTATGCAAAAATGTAGACCATTACAGTCCAATAGAACTTTAGGTGCATTAAACAAAAGGTGTGCAAAGTCTGACAGGTTTATTTAATTTTTTTTTTTACAAAGCAGCCCCACCCTGAGTGAAAGGCCTCTATTAGCAGGTCATTCTGTGGAGGTCCAACACCCCCCTGCTGAGTCAGAGCTCATGTTTCCTGCTGAACATACAAATAGCAACTGCCCCAACCTATAACTGGCTTTTGCAGCAATGAACACATGGAAGGCTAGCACATCAAAAGCAAACAAAAATTCCCAGCTCACTGCCCAGCCAGCCTGCAACAAAACCAAATTGACCCTTACTGTTCTTTTAAAAACAAGGGGTTTAGTTGCACACATGTGTAAGTAGCAGTGACCCCATCAAGACACGTCAGTGTATTGCAGCCCTAACTTTACATTTTGAGTCTCTCTCAAATTGGAGCAGTTGATAAAGCGCAGGTTGGCCTGGAGGCCACCCCTCCCAAAGGTATAGGGACACACGGGACACCCAGCAAGTGCACAATGGCAGTATGCTGTGCATGCCCACACAAATTGACTGCCGTACACTGGGGTGTCCTGATGTGGCAAATGGGGCTTTTGCAAATGTGTGCAACTAAACCCCTTGTTTTTAATGTGAACTGTTAGACAAATCAGTTCTGTTACAGGCTAGCTGGTAAGTGAGCTGGTAATTTTTCTTGGTTTTTTTGATCCCTGCGGATTGTACAGCTCGAAGTCAAACTTAGCAGGGTGCATATCAAACCTCTGTAGAGTGATCACTGCTTGTACAGAGAAAAAGGGTCCCTCTCTGCAGCATGCTGGCAGGGGACATGGATTTCAAGTCAATTAATCAGCTGCTTTCCAAAGAAAGCAAACTAGGAGATTTTAGAGGAACATTCAAGCAAATTAGAAACAAATGTAAAAGCAAATCAGGCTGCCTGTTAGCAGTCTATATGCCTGTTTCTCATTGTATTTGCAACCCCTGCACATTAATCCTGGGTGGCAAAAGGTGACAGATTTGCACTCAAAACAGATGAATAATTAAGAAGGGGTCAGATTACGGAGACGCACCTGAGCACAAGTGGGAGCAGATACCTGTCAAAATCAGGTATCTGCTTCCCCTGTCCAAAAGGGCCAAATATGGCAGTGGAGGGAGGGGAATTAAGATACAAACAAGCAAATCTTCCCCTTTTGGGTTAAATTCCACTTTAATCTCCTCTGTGTTCTATGTAAAACAAAAAAAATGATTAATTTAAACCAAAAATATCTTTTAAATTGTATATTTCAGCACTGCAGGCAATAGGCCCGTACTATATTCAAGGCCCTTGCGTAACTGAACCTGTCAGTTTTTTCTAAGGTTTAATCCCTGATAGGGAGCCAGTCCTGCTGGCTACAGATCACTAATGGAGACTGAGAGCTGTCTCTTTTCTGGGGCCGTGCTATCGGCACAGAAATAGCAGTAGCCCAATAATAATTATGTGCAGAGTGTGGGCGTTAACGCCCACCTTTTAAAGCGGTCATGCAGGCAGCAACAGGTTAAAACAAGAAGAGCCACTATTAAATGTATAAACGAAAAAACCCTTTTCTCTATGCCCAGGAAGATGTGGAAGCATTTTGGAACTATTCCCCAAAACGCACATATCCCACTATTCACCACAGTGGCCAATAACCTTGCTTTTTTTTTTGGATAGTGGGACATTGACTAGGTATGGCCTAAGGTAAATGCACAATAATTGTTCAGTGATGTCATAGTTTTTTCTACTGCCATGCTTTACGATCTTGGAAAGATTTCCCCACTTGCCTATAAAATACAATCTAACTTTTCTCCCTACTGTTCTGTTTCTTCCTTTTGTAAACAAGACCACTGTCACAAATGTGTTTCTTTCTGTACCTTAGAAGGTATAGAATTGTACTGTGTGATTTAAAGGGCAAATCCACCTTGATCACAGCTCCCCAGACTCACCCACCATATTACAAAGTAAAATCCTAACTGGAACCACACAATAGGGATTTTCAGAAAGCAAAGTTTACACGTCTAAAGTACTCAGAGACAGTACAGCAGTTTTTTTTTTTGCTTTGCCAGGTTCTCTGAAACCTGATACACATCTGACCACAGAGAAAAGAAAAAGATTTCCAGGCACAAGTACTGAGCAGGAAGAAAAGGCCCAAAACATATCTATGCAGAAACCAATGGGAATGCCAGGGGAGGACAATGTGCCAGCTAGGCCAAGCCAAGAAGCCTTACTCTATCATGAACAAAGGTCACTAAAGTCCCAGACCAAATTTAGGAGCATCAGCAAGCCTATGACTAATTTGCCTATCAAAAATATTTCTTTTAATTTTTACATTTATAAGGCTTATCTGGTATCCGGTTTTAACAACTACCTGACAAATGGGTAAACAGTTAAATAAAAATAGATTTCTCAACTTTTTTAATACTGTAATTGTATCTAATTACCATATTAAACAGGACTGTAAGCCTTCTTCAAGCTAGTGGCCTCTTGCAGGCTGGCATCTGATGATCACATTACCAAAAACCATGCTGGGTGGATACCAATCGATAGTAGAGATGATTGCCTGTGAGCATTTCTATTTATCAAATGAAAGGCTGATTCACAGAGTGCACATCAGCACCCGTGTAGTTCATTGAGAACTACAAGCTGCCAGTCGCAATGGCTGCCAGTAGTTGTAATTCTCCCATTCGCATAACTCTGTGAATGAATGATGCGGTCAGGTGGGTGGGGTTGGGTTGCTTCTTTAGTAACATATTACACCCTGGATACAGGTGGAACATGTAATGAAAGGTGAATTTAGCCTTTAAAGCAGAGTTCTACCTGCGTAAAAAAAAAAAAAAGTCAGCAGCTACAAAAACTGTAGCTGCTGACTTTTAAAATACAGCCACTTACCTGTCCCTCGGTCCAGCGGTGTCCTCACCACAGCTGGTTTCGCCGGCCATCTTCTCTCCCTGGTGCCGACGTCTTCAGTGTGGGCACTCAGCTGTGACAGTTTGCGGCTTCACAGCGGTGTGCCCACTGCGCATGCCTGAGAAGCTCTGTGCTTTGTGAATGGCCCTCTAGTCTTCTGGGACCTGTCACGTGTCCCAGAAGACTACAGGAAGGGAGGGTAGGAGGAAAACTGCAGCTTCCGATCGCCTAGGGTACCTGTCAAAATTGAGTTCACGTTCCTCAAAAAGGTGTCAATCCTTAACAGAGAGCGTAGAACAAAAGCTTAAAGCAGAACTTCCCTTTTTGGGTGGAGCTCTGCTTTAAGTACATAGAACAACATTCTCTCAGCAATGAGACCCATAGGTAACCGATAGATTGCAGATGCCTAGTAAATAAACTCAGCTTCTTGCAAATGTCTGGGATGCGGTTCCATTTAAAAATTTGCTCTGTAGCAAGATGGGGTGTGAAATACATATTGCTGTGCTAAAGGTGCATTTAACAGAGAACAAACATTGCCAATACTGCAGAGGAAGCATGGTTGTAACATACAACATGGAAAAAGTCTGTCCCTGTGACCAGAACATATTTGCAAACGTAGAAGGATCAATATGGGACAAACAATTACAGCGTTGTTTTGTTTAAGCAGAAGCTGACAAGAGTTAAGCTGGAGGGTCACGGACAGCTGTAGCCCAAACTGACTGCTTCTAATGGCTTCGCAGGCATTGTCCTCAGTGGATGGTCATCAGTCAAACAGAGGACAGCTTATGCATCTCCAGCAGAAACCCAGACTGTAGACAATGGGAGAACCTGTTGGCGGTTTGCTCCTATTACACAGGCTGCCGGTCTGTAGTGATCAGCAAGTCCAGCTCAGTCCCATCACAAGAGGTCATTTGTTTTTCCGTTTGTCTTTTTTGGACTTGGAGGCTGATGCATTTGCTAGTGAGTTACCAGTGGCCAGTGCATGTCCTGTGGACTTCAGGTGACTAAACAGTTTATTCCGCGTTGAAAACTCAGAAGAGCAGGTATTGCATCGCATGGGGGCAGAAGCCTGTAAAATTAAAGGAAAAAAAAAAAAGTTATCCAATATATAACACAAGTGAAACATTCAAGTTGGCCAAAGTGTACATATTTCTTTTGTGGCTGGTCTTAGCGGTGCTGTGAATTATAAGCCTAGTTTTCTCATCAATAGAAGTATTCATTTTTTATCTCTTATGCCTAGTACAGATGATGAGAAAGTCAGCCAGAAAAAAAAAAAAAAAACATTTCAGATCGATCGGCCAGTAATCCGTTCGTTAGTACACAGCTTTCGAGAACCAAGCACAACAGTTCATGCAAGAATATCCAAAAGGGACAAGCACAAAACTTCTTAAGAGAACAAGACAAAAAACTTTTATGTAATCAGGTCGGTATTCATCCATTAAAAATCGAGGGCCAAGACCACGCATGCTCGAAAACATGAAAACAACCCGCCAGGAAAAATGGCAACAAAAACAAATCTTCGTTTACCATGAAAATGCTCATGAAAAAAAAATAAAAAAAATGCTCAATATATACTATATAATAAAAAAATATATATATTCATTTTTAGGATAGAAATATGTATAACAATAAAGGAGTGATAATCTTGCTACCATTTGGTAATAATCTACAGAAGCAGGGATGTTGAATTTCTAGCAGCAAGGCACTTTTGCCTTCAGCAAGTGAAATGCATGCTCAGTTGGGTTGAGATCAGGTGATTGACTCAGCCATTGCAGAATATTCCACTTCTTTTCCTTCAAAAGCTCCTGGGTTGCTTTTGCAGTGTGTGGATCATTGTCCATCTGTACTGTGAAGCGCCGTCCAATCAGCTTTGCTGCATTTGGCTGAATCTGGGCTGACAGTATATCTCTAAACACTGCAGAATTCATCCGGCTTCTTCTGTCTTCTATCACATCATCAATAATCACCAATGACCCAGTGCCACTGGAAGCCATGCATGCCCATGCCATCACACTGCCTCCACCATGTTTTACAGATTACCTTGTGTGCTTTGGATCATAAGCTGATCCAAGCCTTCTCCACACTTTTTTCTTCCCGTCATTCTGGTACATATTAATCTTAGTTTCATCCGTCGAAAGAATGCTTTTCCAGAACTGGTCTGGCTTTTTTAGATGTTTTTTGGCAAAGTCTAATCTGGCTTTTCTAATCTTCAGGCTTATGAATGGTTTGCACCTTGTGGTGAACCCTCTGTATTTGTTCTTGTGAAGTCTTCTCTTGATTGTAGACTTTGACAATGATACGCCCACCTCCTGGAGAGTGTCCTTCACTTGTCTGGATGTTGTGAATGGGTTTTTCTTTACCATAGAGAGGATCCTGCGATCATCCACCACTGTTGTCTTCCATGGACGTCCATACCTATTTATGTTGCTGAGCTCACCAATGCGTTCTTCTTTCCTCAGAATGTACCAAACTGTTGATTTGGCCACTCCTAATGTTGCTGCTATCTCTCTGATGGATTTGTTTTGTTTTTGAAGCCTTACAACGGCCTGTTTCACTTACATGGACAGCTCCTTTGAACGCATGATGTAGGCTCACAGCAATAGATTCCAAATGCAAATACCACACTTAGAATCAACTCCAGACCTCTTACCTGCTTAACCGATGAAGAAATATAATGAAGGAGTAGCCCACACTTGGCCATGAAACAGCTTTTGATTCAATTGTGTAATTACTTTTGGTCCCTTGAAAAAAGGGGGATGGCTACTCTTAAGACCTGTAATTCCTAAACCCTTCCTCCAATTTTGATGTACATACCCTCAAATTAAACCTGAGCGTGTGCACTTTCAGCCCATATCCATTATATAACTATAGCTTGAATATAATGTGTATATGTATGTGACTTGCGAGCCAAAAATAATAAAGTGCTTCAATGGATCGCCAACATTAGACACACAACTTCAACTGTGTAAATTAATTATTATACCTATAAATGTAGCGCTCCTTATTACCACAATACACATATATATATATATATATATATATATATATATATATATATATATATATATATATATATATATAAAACACTTTCTGTGATACCACACACCATAATATCATAATTATAAATAAAAACATTTTCATAAAGTGGCAGTAATATAAAATCAAGATTAATATTTGTGAAAAAAAAATTTAATATAGTGAAAAAAATTAGAATTTTACATAATAGTCATATCAATCAATAGATAGTCCAATATTAGTGATAAGGTGATCATAAATCATCAATTTGTGACTTTCAGTGAATCCTCCAACCAATAAAGATGTACACTCACCTCCTTCTATGCCTAAAACTAGGCTATACACGCTTGTGGTTCACCAAACCTGGAACCTGCCAGAATAATTGCAGTATGGAATGGATGTAAGGTCCTTCCTTATGGATTAATACGGCTATCCCCTTATGAGCTGTATATCCCCGCATAGGTGAGCACAGACAAACACACGTGAAAGGGATCAGGAACAGCACTGGAGCAAGGAGGAGCCACACTTAGAAGATTTTGTGTACTGACACATGAGACATTTAATTATTGAAAGGAGCGTATTTGCATTATACAAGATTTATCCGGCCTTGCATTCCTTTTGCACCTTCCATTTGGATGGGATTACCAGGAACGAATAAAGAGGAGTAACAGCAAGTGATGTATAACAGCTGAAGGAGGGATTAATCCCTGCTGGGATATACAGCTCATAAGGGGATAGCCGTATTAATCCATAAGGACCTTACATCCATTCCATACTGCAATTATTCTGGCAGGTTCCAGGTTTGGTGAACCACAAGCGTGTATAGCCTAGTTTTAGGCATAGAAGGAGGTGAGCTTACATCTTTATTGGTTGGAGGATTCACGGAAAGTCACAAATTGATGATTTATGATCACCTTATCACTAAGATTGGACTATCTATTGATTGATGGGACTATTATGTAAAATTAAATTTTTTTTCACTATATTAATCTTGATTTTATAGCTTAAATATGTTTTGGTAAATACCTGAAAAAATCTAAAATTGTGCTAGTATGGTCTTATGGCTGTAGTGACTAATCTTAAAACTAGTCACTACAGCAAGAAGACCATACTAGTGAGCACTCAGGAAGTAGGAAGTGATTGAAGAAAGATGGGATACTAAAGATACACAGCCCAGTGCTATGGTAGAAATCAGTTAATGCCATCATATGACCAGTGCACCAGAGTTATCATATCAGTTTGGCCTGGCAAGGTGAAATTAGCAACATGCAGTGGGTACATTCAAATGTTTTACAGTAGAAATTTACATTGGTATTAAATTTAACACTTTATTCTGCAAAACAGAGTGCAAAGCATGGATTATACTGCTGTGTGCCTGCCTTTTCTGCAATAACTATTTCAAATAATTACCTGTTCTTCATTTTCCTGTGCGGCTGCCATTTTGGCAGCTTTCTTCATTTCCTTCGCTTTCTTTCCTTTGAGTTTTGGTGCTCTGCAATACACAGAAAATAGACCTGAGCTCTGCAATACACAGAAAACAGACCTGAGCTCATTCTATGGCCGAATTGTAGGAGTACTCATTGGGGCAACTTACGGTTTTCCTTCGCTCGTTGATTCAGGAGCCTCCACGGTTTCTGTATCTTGGATTAGGTTGTCTTGAGGCTCTGCGTCATTGTTCGGGACAGTGTTCAAGATAGTGTCATCCCCTTTAGGTTGTATGGTTTCATTTTTTGGACTGTTTTCTTCATCATTTTTTATCAGCATGCCATCTTCTGACACCTGTGTCAAAAAAAGAAACAATCCATTGAGAGCAGACTGTTCAACACGAGTAGATTGGTATCCAATCTTCTCATCTTACAGATAATACCTTCTCTTTGGTCACATTGGAATATAGTTAAGTAACTTTAACCACCTCCCGCCTGCCATATAGTCCAATTATGGGCGCAAGGTGGTTCTCTCGTTCTGGGAGGACGTCATATGACGTCCTCCCATTCTCACCACGCATGCGCGGCTCAGGGAGCGCGCAGCGCGGTGATTGGCGATGCGCTGTGTCCCTCGGACACAGCGGATCACTGATCTACGGAAAGGTCACGGTCATGTGATCAGCTGTGTCCAATCACAGCTGATCACATGTAAACAGGGAAATGCCGGTTATCGGCATTTCTCTCCTTACGAACTGTCTGCTGACAGCTCGAGAGGAGAGCCGATAATCGGCATTCCGCGGAGGGGACATGTACACTGATCATCAGGGCACTGATGATCAGTGTGCCCTGATGATCAGTGTGGCCCCAGAAGTGCCACCTGTCAGTGTCCATCAGTACCAGCTGTCAGTGCTGAACAGTGCCATGTGCCAGTGCCCATCAGTGCCACATCAATGCCACATATCAGTGCCCATCTGAGCTGCCTTTCAGTGTCACCCGTCAGTGCTGCCAATCAGTGCCACCTAGCAGTGCCAGTCAGTGCCGCCCAACAGTGCCAGTCAGTGCCGCCTGCAGCCTAACAGTGCCAGTCAGTGCCGCCTAACAGTGCCATATATCAGTGCTGCTTTTCAGTGCCCATCAGTGATGCCTGTCAATGTCCATCAGTGCCACCTACCAGTGCCTCCTCATCAGTGCCCATCAGTGCCACCTATCAGTGTCCATCAGTGCAGCTTCATTAGCGCACATCACTGAAGGAGAAAAATCACTTATTTACAAAATTTTACAACAAAAACTAAGAAAACTTTTTTTTTTTTTTTAATTTTTTAAATTTTCAGTGGTTTTTGGTTTAAGAAAAAATAAAAAACCCAGAGGTGATTAAATACCACCAAAATAAAGCTCTGTCACAAAAAAATGATTAAAAAAATGGGTACAGTGTTGTATGACCGCGCAATTGTCATTCAAAGTGTGACAGCACTGAGAGCTGGAAATTGGCCTGGGCAGGAAGGGGGTATAAGTGCCCGGTAAACAAGCGGTTAAACTAAAGTGTATATAAACCCAAAAACAAAATTGTAATATATTACAGCTTACTGATCCTTAATTTCTTTTGTCAGGCTTTCTTTCCTTTATTTTTAAATTGGTGATTCTGACAGGAAAATACTTCCCATCATAGGATGACAATACTCAGCGCATTGTATCTATGGAGAAAGAGCCTTGTCCAGCTTGGATAGGAAATGTGTCCATAGAGGGAAGATGTTCTGTAGTTCGCACATAAGAACTGGGCAGGGCTGATAACACTCCAGAGTAGACAGGAGTAAAACAGATTTTTTTTTCTGCAATCATTGAACAGACATAACAAATGTTTTCAGAGGTATGTTTAACCACTTCTCTAATGTATGTATATAAACGTCTTCACCAGAAGTGGTTAATGCCAGGATCATGGTTTCATAGTGCTATGAAGGTCACCCCCCTCCCACCACAGCTCTTGGTGGTTCCCAAGCTCTCTAGTACCTCCAGGGAGCCCAGGATCACAGTAAGTGGTCAGGACAGCTGCCCACAGAGGAGATGGAGGAACATCCGTTCTCCCATCTCCGGACAAATGATCCCAGGAGCAGCAATAATTTTGTCACTTCCAGCTTCAGAGCGGTCATTCCCTGGCTGTACCATCTAACCAAGCACGATCAATGCTTGGTTAGTTACTTTGAAGGGCATGGGAGACATCAGGGGTCTATTAAACCCTTAATGTCTCAATAAAGAGTACCTGATACCTGTCCAAAGCTATCACAAGGAGGTCTGTAGTGGATTGTGATAGACAGTCCACGTTCTATTAGATGATCAGTAAAATGACAATTTTATAGTCTTGCTACTTTCTGTTTCTTGCTCTTTAAAATTCCTTACTCTCTTAAGTAAACAATCAGATATAGGTTGACAGAACAATGATGATAATTAAGATGGCGCCTTCATCCGGAGTCTCACCCTAGGTGACTCATTAGGAGAAAAGTATCTTTTAATGTAAACAACCCCCATAAAAAGGGAATGAGTCTTTTTGGGGACAATGATTGGAAGATATCAACACGGATGGAAGAAAACGCAGAAACCCAGTGGACTTTTCACCCAATCAATGTATATGCTTTGCCTGCATCATAAGCCCTATAAATGATACTGTTAGTTCCTCAATAAAACAGAATTTTAGGAAGTTGGCAAACTGCAACAGTGCCACTGTCTTACTTCCACGTGCACGTATTCGCCCCCTTGCAACAGCAATAAAGTTAAAAAAAAATGTAAAATTTCCCCAAGTAGGCAAGCGGGCAACAAACCAGAAGGAAGCAAATTAAAGAAATTAATTTATAGGGGGTACGCACGGTTTAATATTAAGTTCCCAACATGGACATTATATATAAAAGAGTTTACAAAGCTTGTTGTTAGTATAATAGATAGAAATGCGTGCTATAATAAAATGTTATTGTTCAATGATAAAGTAAACCAATTTTAAAATGGTTAAAAATGGTTTTGCACAGAGCAGCCCTGATTCTCCTCTTCTTGGGTCGCCCACCAGCACTTCTGGCTCCACCACGCCCCTCGCGTGTCGAATGCCCCCATAGCAAACTGCTTACTATGTCCACAAGACACACAGAGCATGGCTTTGCCCCACCCACCGACCAGAGATCTCCAAGATAAAGTTTTTCCTACATTGTCTGCTGTTTTATTATTTATTTTGTAATCAATTATATGTGTGTTCCATTTGATGGGAAAATTACATATGGCACTTAAACACTCACCTTAGAGCCTTTCTGTTTTTTCTTTTTTTGTTTCTTGCTTGATCTGAAGAAAGGATACAAAAACATCTCAATTGCAAACAGGCACCACTTGAGGAAAAACATTGGTGAGAAGAATACGTGGGCTGCCATTGCAGATCCATTTATAAAAAGGAGTTTTAGTTGTGTAAACCACACTTATTACACAAGCAAATATTGTCAGCGGCTCAGAAGCCACTACTACTGATGATTGATTGGCATGACCGCCAAAGCAACAGGAGTATTCAAAGGGTCATCAATGGTCATCTATGTACTTCTCTTGTAACACTGACAGCTTTCCTTTAAAATGAATCTGTGTTTTGGGTTTGCAACAAAAAAGCAAGCAGCCTTACCAACATAAACTCCATCCAGCCAATAGATGCAAAGAATGGAAGCCCTGTGCAAGATCTAGTTACACCTCTAGTGACATGCTGAGCCAAGCACCAGTACTGTAACATAGTAAGGCTTTGTTTAATCTTGTGGTTTGGAGGGCGGCAAAAATGTGCGGTTGAGACGTATTCTGACTGCCCGACAACTGCCCTCGATGCTTCATGCCTGCGGCAAGGTTGACCCAACAAGTAGTGCTCAGTAGGAGGCAAGCCGGCTGAATGCTACACATTCAAGTCAATAGGGAAGCACATTTATCTGACAAAATGGAGTTCAAACAGGCAGTGAGGAAGCATCCCATCGCTTCCTCACCACCTGTCAGTAGCCTCTAGAACGCAATTTGAGTCCGCATCGGGCTTCAGAGGCAATGGAGATTTAGAGGTATGTCTAAATCTACCCTAAGAATAAAGGAAGCGAGTCACATGGTCCTTCATAACTGGAAATGCCTGATATATTCTTTAGGGTGCTTTTCCTGATAGTCAACAGTGGACCATGCCTGTCCTAACAGCATCTCTTAGCAATTTATCTTCCTAGTTCAGCTTTGTGGTGCACCTTTCTACCTCCAGCCTTCTGATCCGATAGTGACTTGGCTTATTTCTCACCAAACAGAGATAATGATGCTGAAGCAGAAAGCAATAGTAGTAAACCACAATACATGTATTTAAAATGTATTCTACGGTCGTTCTGGAGTTCACTTGAAGAGTGTGCCAGTTTAACTTTTCGACCAGGCTGCACCTCTACAGATTCAGTGCAGTGAGGGAGTGTTGTCACCGGAGGACAGGAAATGTGTTACTGGCAGGATCACAGGAGGAAAAAAGCCTGAAAAAGAGAAAACTAATGCAGCCATCACATCTAAGTATTGGTCATGGCCTGTGTGACCAGGGGTGTAACAAGGTGTCCATTACGTGAATATTATGTGGCTATAGGTGTCCCATTCTTCCAACGCAGAAGGCCTGGAGGTTTTAGAAAAAAAAACTAAAACTGTCAACTCTGTCTTTAATCCAAGTAGGCTAGACAGTTTAGTTAGCTTTTTTTGTGGACGGGCTGGCTGGGGAACACCTTTGTTCCGTTTTATATATTGCCGTGCCCATATACACCTTTCTCCTTTTGCCAGTTTCAAACTAATCAAAGTGCCTGCTATTATTGCTTTTTGGACTGGGTGTCAATGGATGTCTTCACCTGCCTCGTAAAGGCGATGTCCAGGCTTCCCTTGTGTTCCTGTATCTTCATGGATTGTGGAGCTCTCTCTCCAGGTGAGCCTGCTCTCTGGTTTATGCATTCTTAAATGTGTCCCACATTTGGGAACTCCAATAGTTTTGAGCTAGGGAACACACTCTATAGTGATGCCTTGGTGCACCAGTATGTCCTCAACATATATTTGCAAACATATAGAATAAAAAGCTCTGTTTTTAACCTGGGTAATTTGGGGTTGCTGGGTAAACAAGTTGTTTAATTTTTCTGGCTAGGTTGAAAGTGTGCTTGTAAGCCCCTTTGTATTGAGCTGCTATTACTGGCAAAAAATGCTGGTTGCCTGGCTTATCTATTCACAGTACTTTATGAATCACTGAGTTGGAACAAGCATGCTGTTTACTAGCATACTTGTTAGAGACACAGAAAGTATTGATGTTTTTGGATCAACATAATAGCCAGCCAACTAGCATTTTCAAAAGGAGAATTCAACAATTGCAGCCTATGTATGCTCCTAGTGCAGGTTTCCTTTAACACTAGGCATGAATGACGCACTTAATTTACATCATGGCTTACTTTGATTTTAACGTCTCCTCGGGTTCCTGGTCTTCAGACAGCACCTCCCCTCCTCCATCCAGGACACTGCTGTCTTCCCCGACAGAAGCACTGTACTCCTCCTCTTCAGCCTCCAATTGCTGCCGCAGGAGAGCAACCATCTCCCGATGCTTCTTAGACTTCTCATGATTCTTCATTCTGAATTACAACAGGAAGATCAAACTAGAAACTTTGCAGAACATAGCACACTTATAAATAAATCGGCTCCGTAGACCACAGCACACAATATAGTTACGGTGGAATACAGATCACATTACAGGTAACAGTAAGGTGGAAGGCAACTAATAGAAAAATGAGACAGGGCATATGTATGGTGTGAATGGGCACACAGAGAACAATTGTTTTTTATGTACCCTTGTGCCTGCGTCAACCAATGAAGGTCAACCCAACTCCACAGAGGTAAAATTTGCTACATTGTTTACATGTTAAAGTAGAGAAACCGCCATACAATCAAGTTCCAGCAGGGGGTGGAGTGTCCCTGTTACTGCTGACAGAATTAAGTCTTTATATGCCAGGGGATCAGATTCACTACTTTTGTATGTAAAAAGGTATGGGAGGAGTGATGGGACCCAGAGGTTGCCAGCATCTGTGGCTGGAGGGAGGGAGAGAGGCAAAAAAACCAATAAAAAAAAACCACATGAGAGTAAATGTTACACGTTGCTGGGGAATAGATGCTATTTTTCAGAGTGATGTTATTTCACTTTTAATGCTGCATTTTTTTTTTTTATTTGGTAAAATGTCACCCTAAAGATTTTAGTTTTGAATAGTCTGTGTCTCTGCTGGGGCGATTTCCCTTCATTTTCTGTTCTTTTGACTCCACAGAAAGAGGGAGTTATTCCAACAAAAGTTTCCTTACTCTATCCAAAAAAATGGAAACAAAAAACTTTGGGTTGGAATTTCTCTTTAACAATGTAACAAAAGTGTTAAACCACAAGGTTTCCTTGCACTTTGTATGATTTGTTTGTGCCAGCTTGGACCAATTCTGCATACCAGAACAAACTGGTTGGTGCTTAGGCTGTAATATACTGTAGTAGGCTATGCTATGTACAATACACAGCACTGTTTTCCGGCAACAGTACAAAACATTTTCCTTTAGGGTCCGTTCACACCAGAATATGGTGCGGGAAACCTGTGTTCCATGTGCGATTCCCACACTGCATTCGAAATGCAATGCCCTTGCAATCTGCAGCGGATGTCAATATAATGCTAACACCCCAACTGCAGTGCGTTTGCCTGCACCAGAATGCATGTTACAGATGTACCATGTGATCAGGTTTCAGTTGTTTTTTTTTTTTAAAGCAGTGTATGCACTACTTTTGGTGCAGTACAGTGCGATTTCAAATAAATGGGCTAAAAATGCACTGCACTCAAATCACACAGGAAGACAAACACATTACTGAGCGATTTGTGATGTGAACCGCCCCTTGAAGTGGAATTTTAGATAAAAAATACTTTGTCTCTTCTGCAGTAAGATTACTTACTTGCCTGTCAGCCCCTGTGTAGTGAGCTGCGCATGTAGAACTCACTGTACAAATTTGGCATTGCCAAATCTGACTAAACCCTTGTGCATGCACGGGAGTGACGTCACCCTCACCCGGCCAATGACAGCAGCTGACGATCGAGACCTGGAAGCCGGCTGCCCAAAGATGCCAGTGGCCGGGAGCATTAGGACGCTGCCCTGCTGGAGCAGAGGTGAGTATAGCTCTACTTTAATACTGGACATAAAGAGAGTCAATCTTCATGCATCTCTGCCGTGAAGAGACATCTTGCCTTTTTTCAGTGAATACAAGGCTTCCTTTGATTAGCCAAGGTGAAGAGGTATGCAGGTGACGTCAGGATCATATTTGTTTGTTCCTTGGACAGCTTTATGAATGAGGCCCATTGCATTTTGAGGGATTCAGCATACATGCTGAGGATAATACTTAGACTCACGCTTTATCAGTCTTGAAGGCTTTGTCACAAGCAGGACAGTATAGGTCACTGTACAATTCCTCCTCCTCATCGCCTTCATCGCTGGCTTTGCCTAATGATTCAGAAAACACAATTTACTGAGACACTGAGGTTTAGATCATATATGTGAATCTAATTCAAGTACAGATAGCCACACACACTACAAATCAGATTGTAGACTGGTTATATAATGTAATAAGAGGACAAACCTTAACAGTCCTTTCAACTTTTATCCAATCACACAGGTCCTTAAGCTCAGCACAAATTACAATCTGATTGTACAATCTCCTTTACATCTAACAACTTTGTAATGGAAGGGATTGCCTAAACTGACTGGATAAATTAGGTAGGTCCCCATATATAGTTTTGGCAAATATAAAGTCAGATTGTATGGTGATCCTATATTACATAGTTGTTGGTAGATCAAAGGAAAGTGCACAATTAGAGATTAACTACTTGCCAACCGCAGATAGCCGAATGACGGCTACACTGCGGCCGGCCAGTTCTGGGAAAGTGTCATATGACGTCCTCCCAGAACGCGCTCTCCTGTGCGCACCCGGGGGCGCGCACCCGGCTATCTCCGTGTCCTACGGACACAGCTGATCACATGATGTGGTAAAAGGCCGATCACAGCGGCCTTTTACCACATGATTAGCCGTGTCCAATGACACGCTGATCACCGGGAAATGCAATTGCCGGTCCTCGGCTGCACTTTCCTCACGCTGTCAGAGCGTGAGGAAAGTACGGCCGAGAACCAGCTGCATCCCCAAGCAAGAAATAAATGAAGGGAGGACAGAGGCGAATGATGAAGATGCTAGAATAAAGCTGCGTATGTGCAGTGGACATCTAGTGTGCAGCCTCTATTTACTTCAAAGTGTATTTATAGACACACAGTTTTGGGTAGAATAGAGAATGGCTTAAACCTCTTCCAGTTATATATTTTTTCAGTCTGCGCACATTGGCAACATTTCCCTTCACTTCCTGTCCCAAAGATGCAACAGGAAGTTAGTTAAAATCTCCCAAAAAAGAGGGACATTCCCCCCTTAGACAACTGTATCGGGAACAGATATTCCCATTACCTTTTGTTCTAGGGACAAAGCTAACATTTTTTTATTTCGCTTCACTTTCTTTCTAACAATGAGTACCATTACGATTAGAGTAGTGAACATCCCCAATGGGGATGAAGACAGCAATAAAAACATGACAGACGGTCCAACTGAATCCTCAACTCAAAGAAACAGATTTTGTCTTGAGATGCACTAATTTGTGAAGCCAAATCGGACACATGCAAATAGAAGAAGAGACACAGCAATTTTTGACTACTCTTACTGTAATGAAGCCTTTTTAAACCGGATTGTAAGATATTTCTGCATGCACAACAGATGTCCCCTTGTCCTTTGTACAGTACTTGGGACAAAATATTAATCTGGTAAATACTTTATACAGACCATGGAGATATTTAAGTATATAAATAGCGCTGTCTATGACCTATGACATGACCTTTTTTACCCAAACTGAACCAATCCAGATATTAAAAAAGCCTCTGTGGTAAGCGAGGTCTGCCCTCCCTTTCAGTTATCACATGTTGCTCACTAACCATTCTGCTGTTCATCTACTTCCTCTTCATAATCCTCCATCCCATCTCCAAACTCCTGGTCATACTGAGCTTCCATCTGCTGCAGCTCTTTCTCCAGCTCAGACATGGCCATCCAGCTCTGCTCCTTGTACTGCTCTGCCAGCCTGTGGAAAATTAAAATAAAAAAACTTAATACCCTACAAAACTCTAAAAAAAGAAAAGAAAAAGAAAAACACAGGATGTTCTGTGAGAGGGTGGAGAAGTCAGGATGCATCCAGATGGCTGCAGATTGCAAACGTTATTCGAAGCTTTTGCCTTTGTGTCAGTTTAAAAAAAGGCCATATTACCATATACACTCAATGGCCACTTTATTAGGTACACATTGCTAGTATCGGGATGAACTACCCTTTGCCTTCAGAACTGCCTTAATTCTTCATGGCATAGATTCAACAATGTATAAAGTGTTGGAAACATTCCTCAGAGATTCTGGTCCATATTGACATGATAGGGTCACGCAGTTGCAGCAGATTTATCGGATGCACATCTATGATGCAAATCTCCTGTTCCACCACATCCCAAAGTTGCTCTATTAGATTGAAATCTGGTAACTGTGGAGGCCATTGGAGTACAGAGAACGTATTGTCATGCTCAATAAACCAATGAGATGATTTGATCTTTGTGACATTGTGTATTATCCTACTGGAAGTAGCCATCAGAAGGGTGCACTGTAGTCATAAAGGGATGGACATGGTCAGTAACAATACTCAGGTTGACTGTGGTGTTTAAACGATGCTCGATTGGTACTAAGGGGCACAAAGTGTGGCAAGAAAATCTCCCCAACACCATTACACCAACACCACCAGCCTAAACCGTTAATACAAGACAGGATGGATCCATGCTTTCATATTGTTTATGCCAAATTCTGACCATACCATCCGAATGTTGCAGCTAAAATGGAGACTCACCAGACCAGGCAATGTTTTTCCAATCTTCCATTGCCCAATGTTGGTGAACCTGTGCGAATTGTAGCCTCCGTTTCCTGTTCTTAACCGACAGCAGTGGCACCCGGTGTAGTCTTCTGCTGCTGTAGCCCATCTGCGTCAAAGTTCAACGTGTTGTACATTCAGAGATGGCATTCTGCATACCTTGGTTGTAACCAGTGGTTATTTGAGTTGCTGCCATGTGATTGGCTGATTAGCAATTTGTGTTACCATGCAATTGAACAGGTGAACCTAATAAAGAGGCCAGTGAGTGTACATTTTGGAATTTTAACCACCTCCCGCCATATAGTACAATGACAGGCGCAAGGTGGTTCTCTCGTTCTGGGAGGACATCATAAGATGTCGCACAGCGCAGCGATCGGCGGTGTGCTGTGTCCCTCGGACACAGCGGATCACCGATCCACGGAAAGAGCCGAAGAGGTCGGCTCGGTGATGTGATCAGCTGTGTCCAATCACAGCTGATCACATGTAAACAGGTAAATGCCGGTTATCGGCATTTCTCTCCTCTCGAGCTGTCACGCTGACAGCTCGAGAGGAGAGCGGGTAATCGGCATTCCCCGGACGGGATATGTACACTGATCATCAGTGTGCCCTGATGATCAGTGTAGCCCCAGCAGTGCCACCTGTCAGTGTCCATCAGTGCCGAGCTGTCAGAGCTCATCAGTGCCACCTGCCATTGCCCATCAGTGCCACATCAATGCCACATATCAGTGCCTACCAGTGCACATCAATGCCACATATCAGTGCCCACCTGAGCTGCCTTTCAGTGTCACCCATCAGTGCCGCCTAACAGTGCCGCCTAACAGTGCCAGTCAGTGCCGCCTAATAGTGCCAGTCAGTGCCGCCTAACAGTGCCAGTCAGTGCCGCCTAACAGTGCCAGTCAGTGCCGCCTAACAGTGCCAGTCAGTGCCGCCTAACAGTGCAGTCAGTGCTGCCTAACAGTGCCAGTCAGTGCTGCCTAACAGTGCCAGTCAGTGCTGCCTAACAGTGCCAGTCAGTGCCGCCTGTCAGTGCCTCCTCATTAATGCCCATCAGTGCAGCCTATCAGTGCCCATCACTGCAGCCTCATTAGCGCACATCAATGAAAGAGAAATATAACTTATTTACTAAATTTTATAAAAAAAAACTAAGAAAAAACGTTTTGTTTTTTTTCAAAATTTTCAGTAGTTTTTGGTTTAAGAAAAAATAAAAACCCCAGAGGTGATTAAATGCCACCAAAAGAAAGCTCTATCGGTCACAAAAAAAATTATAAAAGTACAGTGTTGCAGGACCGCGCAATAAGTGTCCTGTAGGCAAGCTGTTAATTTGGTAGCAGATTGCTTTTATGCAGTTAGTGAAGACCTAAAACACAATCATCCATGTCTCCTGAGTACAAGTATACCACATAAACATGAATATAAAGTAATGCAGCAAAACGGTGAACCCGAAAGTTAAAGTTGGCCTTTTACGATAGGTGATGTGTCGAACCTAAAGTCCAAATCTGGGTATTTTTATTTTTAACAGCCCCCCTGCCCCAGGAGAGCCATTGTGGCACTAAACTGCCTTAATGATGACCAGTGTTCTTCAAACCAGAGGACTGAGGTCATCTTGTGAGAGCAAGGTGTCATGGACCCAGTGTTGGAGAAGGCATCACCACTGCATTCATGAATGTCATAAAAGTGGAAGAACTCCTTATCAGTATACTCGAGACAACACTGAAGTCAAAGCACTGGCAAAACAGCCAAAGAAATAGCATTCCCAAAAGGAGAGTTCAGTGGTGACCGTCTCTATTATTCTATGATGAAATCACTCATCCCTTTTTAAAGCATTTCTTCACCCTAGAAAACAAAAAATTAAAAGTCAGTAACTACAAATACTATAACTGCTGACTTTTAATAATAGAACACTTATTTGTCCAGGAGTCCAGCACAGTCCTCAGCCAAATCGGCTCAGTGTCTATCTTCAGCTCTAGGAGCTGCCATGTGTACTTTGGGAAGCTGGATATGAAGCCACAAGCAGTCACATCTGGCTTCCTGGCATTGCGCTTTGTAAATGGACCGCTTGTCCAACCCCCACAAAAAAAAATAAAGTGCCAAAACTAAAAGGGAGAGGGGGGGGGGGGGGGGGCAGACAAGCGAAACGTCCCCTTTTGAGCGAGTTTCCGCTTTAAGGAGTATTCTGTTTCCCTAATTGACATTTGTGCCAAATATGTGTGAAATGCATTTGTCTGCATAAAGTATAACACTGGAAGGCTCGTTCACACCAGCCAAGGTGCATTTTGTTTTAAACGCATATTCTATTATGAAAGGGCGTGAATCAAATTAAAATGGGACCTGCCCCCCCGCCATGACGTGATCCATCCTATTTTAAACTTTACTCACTTGGCATTCTGTATCTTCTGCTGTCTTCGCAGTTCCTCTACCTTTTTGGCTTTCTCTGCATTCTGCTCCTCCACCAGCTTCCGATGGGCCTGGACTCTCTTGTCCCTTTTTCTGACAAACGCCACTAGCTCACGGACCAGCTCGTTCCTCTCTTTCCGGGCCTTGTCCCGAGTTTTCTTGTTTTCCTTCTCCATGGCCCGTTTCTCCCAGCGATTGGACGCCTGCCGGGTGTCATACTCCTCTTTCCAGGCAAAGTTCTTTACAGTGCAGAAGCTCTGCCAGTAAGCATAAAAGGGGTGCACTACCTGCAGGAAAAAAGTGATAATGAATAAAAATAAATAATCTTGTTTCTAAACAAAATCTCCATTGCTACAGCTGAACATGTAGCCAATGTGCAGTTTCTTTAATATAGCCAGGCACAACAAACAAATTTAACATTTCACCTTTTTCCTTGTTCCAGTTATTTCCCAGATCCTCTGAAATGCCTAGTGTTTTACCAATTTAAAAATTCCTGATGACTTTGTTATACATATACACACACAGTGCAGCTCAGTGACCTGACCTGAATCCGTCTCTCTCTCACACCTGCGTCTATCTGCCTCATATTGGCACTATGGGGGAAATTTACTAAAACTGGTGCACACAGAATCTGATGCAGCTGTGCATGGTAGACATTCAGCTTCCAGGTTTTATTGCCAACGCTTAAGTGAAGAAGCTGAAGTTCGAAGCTGATTTGTTTCTAAGCACAGCTGCACCGGTTTTAGTAAATCTCTCCCTATACTGTATGCCCATTAAATTAGGCTATAAGGAAGTATTTGCCATTTTGCACAGCAGAGTAGGGACTGGCATAACTTTGACGCAGTTGGCCAACTTAAAAATATATTGCAATACGCAACATGTGAACAAAGAATTCCTGATTTTATGCAAAAGTTTGTTAGAAATATGTAAGAATGCATAGTGGTGTGCAAAGGGTTCATTTGACATTTTCAACATTAAAGTGATACTAAGGTTCATTTTTCTTTTTTTTTTTTTTTTGTAAGATAACAAACATGTCTATACTTACCTGCTCTGTGCAGTGGTTTTGCACAGAGCAGCCTGGATCCTCTTGTTCTCGGTTTCCCCTGTTGGGTGCCCCCATAGCAAGCAGCTTGTGTTCATTCACACACAGAGCCGAGGCTTGGCCCCACCCTCCCTCTCTCTCTCCTCATTGGCTGATTGGCTGTGATAGCAGCAGGAGCCATTGGCTCCCGCTTGCTGTCTTAGCCAATAAGGAGGCACAGACACGGGACAGCTGAGGCTTTCAATGGGGTTCAGGTAAGTATTGAGGGGGCTGAGGGCACTGCTGCACACAGGTTTTTTTTTACCCTCATGCATAGAATACATGAAGGTAAAAAACCTTGAGCCTTTACATTTGCTTTAACAAGTGGTCACCCCCAGATGTGCTACATATATAGGAAGGGTAAATTTGAGCACAGATCACAACCTTAGAAAAGCGAACGAGGAATAATAGAAACACTGTACCATGTCATAGTCACTCTGGGAGTCTCCAAACGGTGGGTATTCCTCTTCTTCATCCTGATTGATCTTACTTTCCATTTCCTCCTTCACAATCATCTCAAAGATTCGTCGATATACAGCATAGAAGCCCTGGGAGGAGAAGGCAGTACATCGTTATCCACTGGATGGCTGTCATATGACATAATGGCAAAAACAACTGCTGCATCTTGCTTCATAATTATAACTGCGTGACTACAGAAGGCTGCAAAACAAGAATGTTCCGGCTCTACAGACAGAATCTGAGTTTCAGTTATTTTTCATAAGCTGATCAAATTTTAGTTACCAATGGCAAATGTGAAATAAAAAGAATACATCAAATATAAATGGGAAGCCTCAGAAGGGCGTAATAATAACAATATTTACAAATAACAACAAATAATAACAGCAAGAACAGGGATAATAAATTATTATTCAACAACGCTATTATTATATCATCTTTATTAGTTTATTGGTATTATCATCATCATAGAAAAATCTGTTTATAAAAAGCCTAGCTTCATATGAAACTACTTGTTTTTAAAGGAATAAATTATAATGCCCATAATGCTTGGATCTACAGTGATTGATGACTGTTGCCTGAGAATCTCTTTCCTGCTTCCTGTACTTGCAGGCAAACTTGGACTCTTTGGGAGATATTCGCATCAGCCTTAGCCGATAACGTCATTGCACATATGTAGGGGTGTTCTACATTTATGTGTGTGACCTAAATGCAGAGCATCCTGCCGTGATTATTATATTATACAGTATTTATATAGTGCCAAAAGGTTTGCTCAGCGCTGTACATTATAGTGGGGGACAGTACATGAGACAATACAGTAACAATACAATACACGAGGGGTTTGAGGGCCCTGCTCTTTCGAGCTTACAATCTAGGAGGGAGGGGTAAGTGGTACAGGAGGAAGTGGCTGTGGGGGATGGAGTGGTAGGAGGAGTGGAGGAGATCGGCTGTTAGGTGAGGGTGGGGTAGGCTTCCCTGAAGAGATGGGTTTTCATGGGTTAAAATTTGTGTTAAAACAGGCCTGACACTGAAGCTTCAATTAGGCAATAAACAAATTGTTAGGCCAACAATATTACTAGGGCCTTCCAGTCAGGTAGGCATATCTCAGTAAACGCATTGAATCCCCATCCACTTTAAAGTGATCATGTGCATGACTCCCATGCACATGATCGGGAGTGATGTCATCTCAGCTTGGTCATTCAAACAGCCAAAACACACAAACCCTGAAGGAAGACTGGGTGAAGATGGGAGCACCAGGGCAGTGTTGGAGAATTCCATTGTAAAGGTAAGTCTACCAAATGTTCCAGTATTGGGTTTATACAGCACTGACAGCAGCCACAGCAATTAGTAAAGGAAATAGTTTGTTTGGGTCAGCTTGGCCAAAATGAACTATTTAAAATGAAAAGAAAGATGGAGTTAGGCTTTAACTGTAAAGCTAAACCTAATACTATGCCCAAGAAAGTCTCTAAATAGGAAACAAAGAAAAGTGGCAGCGCTAGTGACCACTGGAGGAACTTAGCCCAAAGTTAAAGGCTAAGTCTAAAAGCTGGACAGATACACCAGGAGTCTGCTATGTCTCCCAATGTAGAAGGGCTGGTATGCATGAGAGAATGACTTTCAAAATGCAAACTGAAAGAGAAAAAAAAAACAAATAAAGACTACAAATAAGATTTGACAAAGGCTGTCAATATTTCCTTAGATGAGTTAAAGTGAATGTAAACCTTCAAATAGAAAAAACAAAAACCCCTACTAATAGCTTACCCTCCTTCACATACACTTTAAACACGTATGGAATCAGCAACAAGCTTCTGTACTTGCAGCTCTTCCTCACCCCCTCCTCTTAGGTTTTGCTATTATTTAGTGATGGGCCAATAGTAAAGCACAAAAGGCAGGAGCAGGCTACCCCAAACCATCAAACACTGAAGTTGGTCACTTTCCTCAACAGAGAGACCTGGGTCCCTTGATGCTCTACAGCGGTGGCAAAGCTGGAGGTGCCCACTACCAGCAGTAAGCACATCGATGATCCCCAGGTTTGCCTGGAGGTATCATTTATGTCAGAGTGCACCAAGGAAAAGCTATTTACCTTCTCATCATCACCATATCCAGAGTAGCAGGTCACAGTGAAATACTGAACTAGGTCTAGACTGTCGTCTTGATATTCTCCATCTGCACCTCCCTTTAATAGGGCGTCTCTGTGGTTATCATACCTAGAAAACAAGTACAACATAATAAAAGGAATCCACTAAAATATTCCTAAATCCTAATAAAGGAAAATACATTCCACAGCTTACTGGGCAAAATGGCGCTGGAAGGTAGTTATTAATCTGCTACAAACAGACTCCCAGCTGATGAAGTTAGAAACTGAAAACCACCAAAGTGCTGAAAGCAGACACCACTCTTATATCCCGTACAATATGAAGAATAGAGCTGTGTATAACAAGTCAAGCCTATCAGAAACCTTCTAAAAGCAGTACCATGCTCTAGATTAGGTAGTGCATCTTTGTCCCACAATGAGTAAGCATACAGGTGTAAAAAAAAAACAGGTGTGTAGAGATGCATACAGTGTATAGTTTGGTATACATCTGTATGCAGCAGTGTAGAAGTCTATGGGCCCATTCATACAACTGCACTGTGTGCAGCAGCATTAAAAAAAAATAAAAAATGAAACAAAGGGGTTGGAATTTCTGCATAATCCACATGTGTAAACATGTAATGCTTGTGCTAACATTTACATCTGTACAAGGACCCTACTGGCCACCGCTGGTTTCACAATATGGTTGCTTACAGGTCAGTTCTGAAGGAGCCATTCATGTAGTGGTGGTGGTGGTGGCGCATGCACAGAATTAACAGTTTTCAGTCATTCTGAACTGGTGAAGTCATTCTGTGCATGCACCACCACTGCCTCAAACACTCATTTAGGCACTGATCACACTTGAGCGTTTTTTGAGCTACAAAAACACTCCACAAGCAAAAACATTCTGTTTTCAATAGCCCTTGTTCACATCTGAGCGTTCTGCCTCTTGCAGCAAAACACCTGTCACTCAAATAAAAGTACAAGAGCTACACTTCAAACAGAATTGAGTGTTTTTGTCCCCCATAGACCATAATGGAAACGCCTGAGAGTTTTTTTTTTCTAGCGTTTTGTTGCATAGTTTCAGCTCAAACAGTAGCTCTCCACCCCTTTTTTCAATTCTGCTTAAAAAAAAAAAAAAAAAAAACAGAAGAAAACCCTCAAAAACGCAACACTTAGGTGTGAATATAGCCTTGTAGGAGTCAGCATGTAAACACCAATAATGTGTAATCAGCAATGCCGAAGGTGGTCACACATGGCTAATATTAAACTATAATTCCTAAGCAGCACACATGGGGGGAATTTATGGAAACGAGAGTGCACAATCTGGTGCAGCTTTGCATAGAAACCAATAAGCTTTTAGATTTTTGTCGACAATTAAACAAGCTGAAGTTAGAAGCTGATTGGTTTCTATGCAGAGCAGCACCAGATTTTGCACTCTCCAGTTATAGTAAATCAACCTCAGTGTCTAATCAGTGGGGGTTGCAAATTGTTGATATCTATATGTTGACCCCGAGTAGAATAACACTGCAAAAGGAAAGCAGGATCTTTTTGGTTACTTTTAGGGCCACACTTGTCCACGTTGCAACACCCATGCATTTTTGCTTGACAAAACTGAATTCAAAACAGAACTAAACCCTCATATCTTTTTCAGCCAAGGAAGATGCCATCTTAACCTTTGATCTGCAGCTGCCATGGTGCTCATGTGATCAGTTATGACACCAGCCATCAGTCTGGTTGAGAGTACTGGTGCACTAAAATGAAAATTCTGGTGCTGAAACTGATACCAAAAATTTAAAAAAATTAAAATGTCTGTGTATGTGGGGATGGGGAGGCTCAAATGTTTTTTTTGGTAATTTTTTTTTTCAACTTTAATGTATATTTTTATTACTTATAATTTTATTGCCATCACATATGAGTGACAGGTCCTCTTTGCAGGGGCGAGGGAGTGAGGTTTGGGGGCACTGTGTGCAAGGAGGGGGCAGGAGAGAAGCAGTGTATATAGCGAAGGAGCAGTATATACACTCAGGCTCCCTCACTGGCTGCCCCTATTTGTCACTGCCAGTTTTTTAATCTAATTACCGGCTTTTTTTCCCTTCAACTAATTTGACCCGTTATATTCCCAGCATGCTGAGAATTTACCTTTTTTAAAACCATTAAATTGATGGATTTTGTTCTGCTTAGAGTAGAAATCCCATTTTTCCTATGTGGCTGATGCACATCCATGTGCTGAAGTTTTGTGTAAAAGGAAAACTATTGTGGCCAAACACACGTATGGGAGTGCGTTACCACACACAAGGAGCAGTGTGAATCCAGCCGTATAAATGACATGCACTTATGGTCACTCACCATGCTCTCTCCTGGGGGTCGCCAAGGACATCATAAGCTGCCTGGATCAATTTAAACTGCTCTGCAGCCTCCTCCGCACTATCCAAGTTCTTATCTGTAGCAGAAAAGCATAAAAATCATGGAAAGCTCCTGAGGGATCTTATAGGTGTAGATACAGACGTTGCAGATACTGCATTGTGCATACAAGGGCTAAGAAGTGCCATTCCATGGTGTTTGGGTGAAAGTTTCCATGTTAGGGAATGTATCTATTGCAGTACATAGAATGTTGCTTATGAGATAGATATAGATAGATAGATAGATAGATAGATAGATAGATAAATTATATATATGCATACACACACCACACACAGTGCCTTGAAAAAGTATTCATACCCCTTGAAAGTTTCCACATTTTATCATGTTACATCCACAAGCATTAATGTACTTTCTTGGGATTTTATGTGATAGACCAACACAAAGTGGCACATAATTGTGAAGTGGAAGGAAAATGATAAATGGCTTTCAAAATGTTTTAGAAACAAATATTTGAAAAGTGTGGCGTGCATTTGTATTCAGCCCCCCTTACTCTGATACCCCTAACTAAAATCTAGTGGAACCAATTGTCTTCAGAAGTCACCTAATTAGTAAATAGAGTCCACCTGTGTGTAATTTATTCTCAGTATAAGTACAGCTGTTTTGTGAAGCCCTCAGAGGTTTGTTAGAGAACATTAGTGAACAAACGGCATCATGAAGGCCAAGGAACACACAAGACAGGTCAGGGAAAAAGTTGTGGAGAAGTTTAAAGCAGGGCTAGGATATTAAAAATCTTCCAAAAATGGAAAGAGTATGGCACAACTGTAAACCTACCAAGACATGGCCGTCCACCTAAACTGACAGGCCGGGCAAGGGGAGTATTAATCAGAGAAGCAGCCAAGAGGCCCATGGTAACTCTGGAGGAGATGCAGAGATCCACAGCTCAGGTGTGAGAATCTGTCCACAGGACAACTATTAGTCGTGCACTCCACAAATCTGGCCTTTATGGAAGAGTGGCAAGAAGAAAGTCATTGTTGAAAGAAAGTCATAAGAAGTCAAGTTTGCAGTTTGTGAGGAGCCATGTGAGGGACACAGCAAACATGTGGAAGAAGGTTCTCTGTTCAAATGAGACCAAAATTTAACTTTTTGGCCTAAAAGCAAAACGCTATGTGTGGCGGAAAACTAACACTGCACATCACCCTGAACACACCATCCCCACCGTGAAACATGGTGGTGGCAGTATCATGTTGTGGGGATGCTTTTCTTCAGCAGGGACAGGAAAGCTGGTCAGAGTTGATGGGAAGATGGATGGAGACAAATACAGGGCAATCTCAGAAGAAAACCTGTTAGAATCAGCAAAAGACTTGAGACGGGCAGAGGTTCACCTTCCAGCAAGACAATGACCTGAAACATCCAGCCAGAGCTACAATGGGATGGTTTAGATCAAAGCATATTTATGCTTAGAATGGCCCAGTCAAGGTGGTTCTACAAAGTATTGACTTAGGGGGGATGAATACAAATGCATGCTATTATAAACACACACACAAAGGGATGTGCAATTTATATTGCCTGATGCCCGGGACATGTAGTTCCCGGCGCAGGGCAGGTAGTTTTTTTTTTTTATTTTTGGCCTTTAGCCCTGCTGTGGACAAGCAGCGGGCTCACCTGTCAGGTGGAAGCATTCGGGCATCAGCACTGCCGCCTGTTTGCTTCCACATAGCCCACAATGCCAGCCGCCGCTCCCCTGCCCGCTATATGTCCCGGGCTCCACTTGCCCATCTGCATGCCCGGGACTGATTCAGTGGGTGACGGCGGTATGTCGGGATGTGGGTATAAAGGATGGAAGAGAGCGGACATGTCAGCTCCCCTTCTTGTCCTGACCTGGAAGTGATGTCATTTCCGGGTCCCCATTGACAGATTCAATGAATTACAACAGATTGTAATGTGGTGTGATGGGCACTGAATTACATTTAGTGGAGCACAGGGGAGACATGCATGGTCTGCATGTATAAAAAAAAAAAAAAAAAAAAAAAAAGAGAGCCTGTCACCAAAAAATCATCACATGCAATACTAAAAAAATATATATATATTAATGCAAGTTACACCAAAGAATATAACCTCCCCCCCCTCAATTTTTCAAGGCCCCCCCCCCCACCCGCACATATGTATGTACACACGCACAAACGTAAAAGCATGCGCTTGGGCACCTACACATGAAAGCGACGAATGCGATACACATGTTACATATCGCCACACACGCCAGAATGAGAGTAATAATTCTAGCACCAGACCTCCTCCGTTACATTAAACTGATGACCTATAAGGGCTTTAAAAGTGTCACATAGAGAAAATAGAGGCTACTAAATCTGTTGTTTCACGAGCGCATGCAAAATTAAGGTTTGACATGTTGGTTATCTGTTTACTCAATGCAACCTCATCTTTTATATTTTACAAAAAAAAATTGGATAATGTATTGCTTTTTGTGCCCTAAAATTAACTTAGTGTATTTTTTACGGAAATTTTACATTTTCTAGACCTTTGTGATAATATCGTGTAATATAAAAAAAATTGGAACTACCGCTATTTTATTCTCTAGGGTCTCTGCTTTCAGAAAATATATCATGTTTGGGAGTTTTGTGCAATCTTCAGGCCTTAAATGATTTTTTAAATGTGTGCAAAAAAAAAAAAACAAAACACAAAAACTCCCCTTTCCTGACGAGCAGCCAATCGGTGCTTATTACACTGCAAGGTCTCAGTGCTGGAGACAGGCAGGGAGAGGAGGAGGAGATAAAATGGTGCAATGTTAAAAATATTAAACTATTAAGTTGCCATAAAGCCCCTTTTGATTTTAAAAGCCCCAGACATTCCTTAACCACTTGCCTACAGGACACTTATACCCCCCTTCCTGCCCAGGCCAATTTCCAGCTTTCAGCGCTGTCACACTTTGAATGACAATTGCGCGGTCATGCCACACTGTACAGATATGACATTTTTAGCATTTTTTTGAGACAGATAGAGCTTTCTTTTGGTAGTATTTAATCACCTCAGGAATTTTTTTTTTTTCTTAAACCAAAAACCACTGAAAATTTTGAAAAAAAAATGTTTTTTCTTCATTTTTGTTATACAATTTCGTAAACAAGTGATTTTTCTCCTTCACTGATGTGCGCTAATGAGGCTGCAGTGATGGGCACTGATAGGCTGCACTGATGGACACTGATAGGTGGCACTGATGGGCACTGATGGGCATTGACAGGCATCACTGATGGGCACTGAAAGGCAGCACTGATACATGACACTGATATATGGCACTGATAGGCGGCACTGACTGGCACTGATGGGTGACATTGAAAGGCAGCTCAGATGGGCATGATATGTGGCACTGATGTGCACTGGCACGTGGCACTTCTGGGGCCACACTGATCATCAGTGCCCTGATGATCAGTGTACATGTCCCCTCCACGGAAAGCCGATTACCGGCTCTCCTCTCGAGCTGTCAGCGTGACAGCTCGAGAGGAGAGAAATGCAGATAACCGGCATTTCCGTGTTTACATGTGATCAGCTGTGATTGGACACAGCTGATCACATGACCGAGCCAACATCTTCGGCTCTTTCCGTCCCTCGGACACAGCGGACCGGCGATCACTGCGCTGAGAATGGTAGGACGTCATATCAGAACGAGGGAACCACCTTGCGCCCGTCATTGTATCATAGGGCTGGCGGAAGGTGGTTAAAGCCCCTCCGATTTAAATATGGTTGTCTTCTTTTTCAGCATGGGCCCTGGCAAATTGTAGGAGGGCTTGTGACATTTCTCTTCCATGTGATGCCATTGCTGACAGCATGTAAAGGGAGGGGTTTTCTTTGTTAGGCAACGGCCTTTTATAATCAACTGTTTGCTGGACACCTGTTTAATGAATAATTAGACTCACCTGTAGTTGAAATTCTTGTTAATTAGGATTTTGTTAACTAATGCATGCCATAGACGGTTCGTTTATCAGCCAAACTTTTATCCGAAAGAAAAATCGGCTGATATACGCACTGTTAGTGGGGCAATGTCAGACGATTTTCGCAGTTCCTCCTCATTTTTTTTATCGGTCATGCTGGAAAATTTATGAAAAACGGATGATTTTCGTAATCATTGGTGGCAACAGAACGACCGATTTTTTCTTTTTTCGGACGATAAACGAACCGTCTATGGCCTGCATAAACTTTAGCTTTGCTCTTAAGACTTTGATTGGGGTGTATTCATTTTTGCAACATGGTTTTGAATGAATTTGTTAGGAAAAATACTTTTTTGTGTGTGCAAATCAACAAACTTTGTTTGCAATCAATGGCCCACATTTGAGAGTATTTTATAGTATAGTGTCCCATAGAAACTGTTCATTCTGAATGGAAAGTAAAGCTTTTCTGACAAATCTGTTGGGGTGTACTCATTTATGCTGAGCACTGTGTATGTATGTATGTATAAGTGTGTTATATATATTAAACACACAGGTGTGGAAATTTTTTAAAAAAACTACTTGTCCAGGGACTAAATCGGTGCCCCAATCTACTTGTCACTCATGACAATCTACTTGTCCTGATAAAAAAAATTTTTTTAACCAAAACAGTATTCAAATCTGAGGTGCTTTATGGAAGGTCTGGGGCTTTTAAAAACGAAAGGGGCTTTATGGTGACTTAAACGTTTAATAGTTTTAACAATGCGCTGTATATCTCCTCCTCCTCCCCTCCCTGCCTGTCTCCAGCACCGCACCCGGGGACTAGCAGGGAGGGGAAAGACCTTGCAGTGTAATGAACACCGATTGGCTGCTTTTCAGGGAAAGGGAGTATAGGGGTTATCCTTTATCTCTATCGCTGCCAGAGCCATTTTTTGCACACGTTTAAAAAATCATTTAAGGCCTCAAGATTGCACAAAACTCCAAAACATGACACTTTAATTATAGGGCACAAAAAGCAATTATCCAATTTTTTTGTAATATAAAAGATTGCATCAAGTAAATCGATATCCAATATGTCAAACCTTAAATTTGTGCGTGCTTGTGAAATGGCAACAAACTTTAGTACCCTATATTTTCTATAGGTGACACTTTTAAAGCTCCTTATAGTACATCAGTTTAGCGTTACAGAGGAGGTCTGGTGCTAGAACTATTGCTCTCTTTCTGGCGTGCGTGTCAATATGTACCTTGTGTATCGCAGTCATCTCCATGCTTTTACGTTTGTGCATGCATACATATGTGTGGGGGGGTGGCATTATATGGTTGGGTGCAACTTAATTTTTTTTTTTAATTAAATGGTTTTACTTAACTTTTTATCACATACTGGACTGGGGAAAGTCCCCTATGTGATGATTTTTGGTGACAGATTCTCTTTATCTAAAAGACCCTGCATGTCTCCCCTGTGCTTCACTGAATGTAATTCAGTGCACATCGCACTGCATTACATTCTTTCCCGGCCTCGATGGCCGGAAATCTGTCAGCGGGGACCCAGAAGTGACGTCAAAATACTTCCAGTTAAGGACAAGGAGGGGAGGGAACGTGTCCACTCTCCTCCCTACTCTATACCCGCATCCCGTCGGCACCCACTGAACCAGTCCCGGGCCCGCAGATGGGCAAGCAGAGCCCGGGACAAATAGCGGGCAGGGGGGCAGTGGCTGGCACTGTGGGCTGTGTGGAAGCAATCGGGCGGCAGTGCTGACGCCAAATGTTTCCACCTGACAGATGAGCCCTTTAACAGGGCTAAAAGCAAACCAAAAAAAAATACATGTCCTACGCCCGGAACTACATGTCCTGGGCGTCAGGCGATATGAATTGCACATTCCTGCTTTAATCACTTGCCTCCAGAAGATTTACCCTCCTTCCTGACCAGGCCATTTTTTGCGGTACAACACTGCGTTACTTTAACTGACAATTGAGCTGTGATGCAACGCTGTACATAAATGAAATTTATGTCATTTTTTCCCCCACAAATAGAGCTTTCTTTCGGTGGTATTTGATTACCTGTGCATTTTTTATTTTTTACGCTATAAAAATAAGATTGACAATTTAAGGAAAATAAAATGTATTTTTGACTTTTTGCTATTAAACATATCCAATAAAAAAATTAAATGTCAACATAAATTTAAGCCAAAAAGTATTCTGCTAAATCTTTGCTAAATAAAATCCCAATAAGTGTATATTAATTGGTTTCCGTGAAAGTTTTATACCCTCTACAAATGGCGGTATATATACTGGAATTTTTTTTTTATACTAGTAATGGCAGCGATCAGCGACTTATAGCAGGACTGCGGCGGGAACAAACTAACTGCCACTGACATCTCCAGTGACACTAACACAGTAATCAGTGCTAATAAAAAGCACTGACACTGTACGAATGATACATCTGGGGCGATCAAAGGATTAATTGTGTTAGGGAGTGATGTTTATTGTGTACTGTGTTGTGTTTTACTAAGCAAACCTGCTGCTTTCTATCTCTCTGCTGCTGTCTCCCAGCACAGTCTCAAGAGCATGGAGGAGATTCCAGAAGACAGGCAGATACTCTAGGAGACCTGGACAGGGCCGTAGAAGGTCCTTAACCCATCAGCAGGACCGTTATCTGCTCCTTTGTATAAGTTGGAACAGGATGAGCACTAACAGAGCCCTCCAGCAGGCCACTGGTGTGAATGTCTCTGACCAAACAATCAGAAACAGACTTCATGAGGGTGGCCTGAGGGCCCGACGTCCTCTAGTGGGCCCTGTGCTCACTGCCCGAAACCATAGAGCTCGATTGGCATTTGCCATTGAACACCAGAATTGGCAGGTCCACCACTGGCGCCCTGTGCTTTTCACAGATGAGAGCAGGTTCACCCTGAGCACATGTGACAGACGTGAAAGGGTCTGGGGAAGCCGTGGAGAATGTTATGCTGCCTGTAACATCATTCAGCATGACCGTATTGGTGGTGGGTCAATGAAGGTCTGGGGAGGCATATCCATGGAGGGACGCACATACCTCTACATGCTAGACAATGGCACCCTGACTGCCATTAGGTATTGGGATGAAATCCTAGGACCCATTGTGTGACCCTACGCTGGTGCAGTGGGTCCTGGGTTCCTCCTGTTGCACGACAATGCCTGGCCTCATGTGGCGAGATTATGCAGGCAGTTCCTGGAGTAGGAAGGAATTGATAACATTGAATGGCCCCCACGCTCGCTTGACCTAAATCCAATAGAACACCTCTGGGATATCCTGTTTCTATCCATCCGACACCGCCAGTTTGCACCTCAGACTGTCCAGGAGCTCAGTGATGCCCTGGTCCAGATCTGGGAGGAAATACCCCAGGACACCATCCGTCATCTCATTAGAAGCATGCCCCAACGTTGTCAGGCATGCATACAAGCACATGGGGGCCAAACTACTTAGTACCATTCTGAGTTGCTGCAATGAAATTTGAGCAAGACGGACTAGCCTGCTACATAATTTTTTCACTTTGATTTTCAGGGTGTCTTTGAATTCGGTCCTCTGTAGGTGGATAATTTTCATTTCCATCAAACGATGGGGCATCCTTATGTTCCTAACACCTTACCCCGTCCATATCAGTATAGATATCCAGCATATGTTTCCCTATTGAGATCTGATGTGTTTTCAAAGTGTTCCTTTAATTTTTTGGAGCAGTGTATTTGTGTATGGGACTAAATCGGGGGTCACAATCTACTTGCCCCTCATGACAATCTAGTTGTCCCAATAAGAAAAAAAATAATTTTAATCAAAAACACCCAGGGACTAGCAGGGAGGGGGGAGACCTTGCAGTGTGGCGAGCACCGACTGGGTGCTCGTCAGGTAAGTGGAGTATCGAGTTGTCTTAATGCTCTTGGCTCCATGTGATCATGTTCCTGGCTCCGAGTGTCCATGCTCCACGGAGTGGACACCAAGAGCACAGGACGGGTGCAGTCATCCTGCCTGTAGTGTGAGGTGGCACAATGCGTACAGGCCTGGCTCAGGAAGGAGTGTGGTGGTGCTCCCAGGTTCTGGAGGACAGGCAGGAATTATCAGACACCGACAGGCATCCAAGCAAATTGGAGTAGTGTTACTCAGCACCGGTCTGTGTAATGGACAGAAGAGAGAGAGCGTACCACCTGTGATCTGGGGCCATCGTGATCGGTGACCCCGGCACGCCCCCCCCCCTTCCCCCTGGCTGAAGGAAGTGTAGTGGGCTGAAGATAGCCACTGTAGACGGTCCAAGGAACTACACTTCCCGAGAGCCTGTGAACTACACTTCCCGTACCGCCTGTCATAGTAAACATGCCGCTCGTCAAATGGGGAAGTCCGTAACAAAGACACGACCCGGTGGCCAAGAGGTGGCATGGATGTGGGCATTGGCAGGCTCAATGGCAAAAGCAGTGCTGAGGCAAGGAGGCCGAGCCTGGAGTTAGCTGGAGGAGGGAGGCAAAATGAAGCACAGGGGCAAAAAAAAAGTAAACCCTGATGCTTGTGCGTAGCCAGGCTATATGTAAAAAAATAAAAACAAACAAAAAAAAAAAAAAAAATCACCTGCCCAGAGGTTCACTGATGTTTTGGGGCTGCTTCAGGCGCTGGATGTTTGGACCGTGTGCATGGCATTATGAAATCTGAAGACTACCAAAGAATTCTGGGGTGCAATGTAGAGCCCAGGGTCAGAAAGTTGGGTCTTCCTCAGAGGTCATGGGCCTTACAGCAGGACAATGACCCAAATCACATGTCAAAAAGCCCCCAGAAATTGTTTCAGACAAAGCGCTGGAGAGGACTGAATTGGCCAGCAATGAGTCCAGATCTCAGTCCCATAGAGCTCCTGTGGAGAGATCTCAAAACAGCAGTTGGGAAAAGGAACCCTTCCAATCTGAGGGACCTGGAGCAGTTGGTGAAAGAAGAGTCCAACATTCCAGCAGAGAGATGGAAGAATCTCATTGATGGTTACAGGGGGAGATTGATTTCAGGTATTTTTTTTACAAGGGGTGTGCTACCAAATATTAAATTGTGGGTGCCAATAATTCTGTCCAGTCCATTTTGGGTGGAATGTGTCAGATTTGGCTTTTTGTTTCCCCACTTCTTGTGTCACACCAATACCAACAAAAGAAATAAACATGAGAATGCCGAAACATTTGTCAGTCACAATGTTCTGGGCGAAGTGGTGCATTATGACAGATATGAGGGGGGGGGTCAGTATTTGTGGCCAGGACTGTGTAGATCAGTGTAGTGATGGGACGTGTATATGGCTGAGGTGTTCTCTGATACTTCCAAGTAATAAACCCAGGGGATGAATATGACTGTCAGATAGTTCAGGAATACCACCTCCCCCCTCAGTACACTTGGTATAATCCGCCCCCATATAACAGATGTGTCAGCCCCAGCCTCTCACCCGGGTGCCATTTCAGCGCCAGCTTCCTGTAGGCCTTCTTCAGGTCATCGTCCGTACAGTCCCTCCTCACCCCCAACAGCTCGTAGTGACACCGCATCCTTCACCGGCCGGCTCACCCCTGTCCACACACGTGTATCCCCCGACCCGGAACAGGAAGCCACCGGTCCTTCCCACCCCTCCTGTTACCTGGACAACCGCACAGCTATCCCCCCCACCTCAGTCCGATAACAGCATCGACGTATTATCTTCAGGTTCAAGAGAACACCTTCTGTGTGTATGACCACCACTCATGTCTCCACTTTGGACGCCATGTTTGTGAAGGTTTATCCTGTTTATGAGTTTTTATGTCTAAAACTCATCTTGATCTACAAGAAAATGGCGGCTACATCAATTTACAATAAAAAAAAATGCAGACGTGTTTTATTTGGAAGTTGTCAGTCTCTTGTAAAATTAAAAACAGTTTGTCGGAGTGAGGTATGGTGGCGGCTGCATGGCGGGTGTCAGTGGATGAGGTATGTGGAGGAGGTGCTGGAGGTAATCTTCTGGGCATGGGGTGGATGTCTCTTAAAGGGACCCTGTCACCAACTTCCTGTCTGCATGGAAGGCAGATGGTTTAATTGCATTGATTTCCCTCCATAGATGGTTCTATATTCACCAGTAAGGTACCTCTGAGATTGCTAGAAAATCTGACTCCTCCAGGAAGAGACAGTTCCTACATTGCCCCGCCCCTTTTTGTGTGCCATAGTCCTTGTCTAGGAGTGACTAATTACTGTCTGTGCTGGCCCAGCTCCTCCTACCTTCCTTTTTGGATGACATGGTCCTCCCTTCATTCGTGTTGGCCCAGCTCCTCCTTCCCTCCCTCCTTTGATGTCATAGTCCTCTTCTGGGGGTGTCTAATTGCAGTCTGCACTGGCCCAGCTCCTCCTTCCTTCCCTCCATGGACATCATTGTCTTCTAGGCGTGTCTAATTACTGTCTGTGCTGGCCCAGCTCCTCCTTCCTTCCCTCCTGGGACATCATAGTCCTCTTCTAGGAATGTCTAATTACTGTCTGCACTGGCCCAGCTCCTCCTTCCTTCCCTCCATGGACATCATAGTCTTCTTCTAGGCGTGTCTAATTACTGTCTGTGCTGGCCCAGCTCCTCCTTCCTTGGACATCATAGTCCTCTTCTAGGCATGTCTAATTACTGTCTTTTGCTGGCCCAACTCCTCTTTCCTTCCCTCCTTGGACATCATAGCCCTCTTCTAGGCGTGTCTATTTACTGTCTTTGCTGGCCCAGCTCTTCCTCCTTCCCTCGGTTGTCAGTCCTCTCCTCACCTGAGAGCATCTAATTACTGTCCGTGCTGCCCCAGCTCCCCCCTACCTCCTTGGATGTCATAGTCCTCTCCTCATTCATGCTGGCCCAGTTCTTCCTCCCCTTCCTCTGTGGATGCCAAAGTCCTTTTCTAGCTGTATCTAATTACCATCTGTGCTGGCCCAGCTCCTTCTTCCTTCCTTCCTTCCCTCCTTGAATGTCATAGTCCTCTCCTTACCTGAGAGCATCTAATTATTGTGTCTGTGCTGACCTAGCTCCCCTACCTCCTTGGATGTCATAGTCCTCTCCTCATTCATGCTGGCCAAGCTCCCCCTCTCCTTGGTTGTCATAGTCCTCATTTGTGCTGGCCCAGCTCCCCCTCTCCTTGGTTGTCATAGTCCTCATTTGTGCTGGTCCTCCTCCCCTCCCTCTGTGGATGCCAATGTCCTTTTCTAGGCATGTCTAATTACCATCTGTGCTGGGCCAGCTCTTCCTCCACTCCCTCATTGGATGTTATAGTCCTCCTCACCTGGGAGGTCCTTGTCTAATTACTGTCCATGCTGTTCCAGCTCCTCTCCTCCCTCCTTAGATGCCAAAGTTCTTTTCTAGGAGTGTTTAATTACCATCTGTGCTGGCACAGCTCCTCCTACCCTCCCTTCGTGGCTGTCATAGTCCTCTCCTCATTCGTGCTGGCCCAGCTCTTCCTCCACTCCCTCTTTGGATGTCACAGTCCTCTACTCACTTGGGAATGTCCAATTACTGTTCATACTGGCCCAGCTTTTCCCCTCCCTCCTTGGAATTCATACTCTTCTCACCTGGGAGGTCTGCGTGTAATTACTGCCCATGCTGGCCCAGCTCTTTTCCTCTTTCCTTGGATGTCATAGTTCTCTTCTAGGAGTGTCTAACTACTGTCTGTGCTGGCCCAGCTCCACCTACATGGTGATGCCAACAGCCGCAGCAGACTCAGAGCTGTCCTAAGAGTGATCCTCTAGTATTCCCCTTCACTCCTCCCCCCAAATACTAGACTAGAGGATCACTCTTAGGACAGCTCTGAGTCTGCTGGGGCTGTTGGCATCACATTGAAGGTGGTGGAGCCCAGCAGCAGTCCTGGATTTTGGATGTCCACACAAGGGAGGCTTTTACAGGTGAATGTTGTTCATATTACATACTAAATACACATATAATATGATGAGGCTTATTTTTTAAATAAATGTCCTGAATGCTGAGTCTCTTAAAATTATAACCAAAGTCAAATCTTCGTTGTGAATTGTCATGCGATTTGATTGTTTCAGATCACATGACAAGTCTCACCCTATTGTCAGCAATGGAAGCGGTGAAATCTGTGCGATTCTGACTCCATCTGAGTCGCACCGATTTGGAAAGTAGTTCCTGCACTACTTTTTGAAACTTCAGGTGCGACTTGCATAGACATCTGTGCATGAAGTCGCACAGATGTCTTCCTAGTCGCACCTGAAGTCACACTGACGTCTGACTTTGAAATCCCGAGAATCTACGTGAAGTCGCACAATTTCAAAGTCGGATTTGGTGTGAAGCCTTAACAAGATTCGCCCTCTCCAATTGTCCTGTTCACCATTATCGCCAGGATTGAAAGTGAAAGAAAATCCCACATTTTAGGTTGTCACCAGAATAGGAATAGAGGGAAAGTCTTTTGATGGGGAGGGATTTCCTCTCACTTCCTGTTTTAGCTATGGGACAGGAAGTGAAGGGAAATCTCTCCAGTAGGACACAGATGGCAAAAAAACCTAACGGGATATAACCCTCCCCTAGGCTGGCCATAAATGATACAATTTTCTTGTTTAATCACCTTGAGATTTACCTTCAGCTATGTAATACCAGGGCGGGCTGATTGCATACAAATTGAGAGTATTTAGGTCTGACCTCATTATATACCTCACAGGGATGTGCAATTCATATCCCCCAACTCCCGGGACATATAGATCTGGGCTCAGGGTAGGTAGGTTTTTTTTGCCTTTAGCCCTGCTGCGGGCAAGCAGTGGGCTCACCTGTCAGGTGGAAGCATTCGGGCGTCAGCGCTGCCACCAATTGTTTCCACACAGTGCCAGCCGCTGCCGCTCCCCCACCCGCTATATGTCCCAGGCTCCGCTTGCCCATCTGTGGGCCCGGGACTGGTTCAGTGGGTGCCAGCGGTATGTCGGGATGCAGGTATAGAGGAGATAGGAGAGTGGACACATGTCCGCGCCCTCCCCTTCTTGCCCTGACCCAGAAGTGATGTGACGTCACTTCCGGGTCCCCGTTGACAGATTCCCAGCCATCAAGGCTGGGAAAGAATGTAATGCAGTGCGATGTGCTCTGCATTATTCAGAGGACATGTCTCCCCTGTGCTCTCTGAATGTAATGCAGAGCACATCGCACTGGAGACAGGGGAGATCCTTTGATACATGTCTCAAAAAAGAGAACCTGTCACCATTACACAAATTGATGAGTGTATAATTTTTTTTTTTTTTTTTAAAAAATATAAGTTGCATCATAGCAGATAACCAACCCCCCCCCCCACCAAATTTTTCAAGGCCCCCCACATATGTACACAGGCACAAACGTAAAAGCACATGCTGGGGCACCTACACATGAAAACATCGATTGTGATATACACGTTACATATCGCTGCGCACGTCAGAATGAGATCAATAATTCTAGCACCAGACCTCCTATGTAACACTAAACTGATGACCTATAGGGGGCTTTAAAAGTTTCACCTATAGAAAAAATAGGGTACTAAAGTTTGTTGCTGTTTCACGAGCGAATGCAGATTGAATGTTTGACATGTTGGATATCTATTTACTCGATGCAATCTCGACTTTTATATTTTACAAAAAAAATTGGATAATTTATTGCTATTTGTGCCCTGAAATTAAGTGTATTTTTACTGAAAAACCTTTGTGATAATATCGTGTGACATAAAAAATTGGACCTACTGCTATTTTATTCTCTAGGGTCTCTGATTTCAGAAAATATATAATATTTGGGGGGTTTTGTGTAATCTTCAGGCTTTAAATTATTTTTTAAACAAGTTCAAAAACCACAAAAATGTCTCTGGCAGCGAAAGGGATAAAGGATAAGTCGGACATGCCCCTTTCCTGATGAGCAGCCAATCGGAGCTCATTACTCTGTGAGGTCACCCCTCCCTGCTAGTCCCTAGTCTCAGGTCCCATTCCATGCATGAAGGTAAAAAACCTCCCCTATGCAGCAGCCCCCCCCCTCACCTCACCTAAGCCTCCCTCTCGATCCAGCGATGTCCACTCCCTCTCCTTATAGGCTGAGACAGTAGCAGGAGCCATTGGCTCCCGCTGCTGTCAATAACAGCCAGTGAGCCAATGAGGAGGGAGAGGGGGCAGAGCCAAGCCACGACTCCATGGGGTTTATTTACTAAAGCTGGAGAGTGCAAAATCAGACTCACTTCTGCATAGAAACCAATCAGCTTCCAGCTTTTCATTGCCAAAGCTTCATTGAACAAGCTGAGGTTAGAAGCTGATTGGTTTCTATGCAGAAGGGAGTCTGATTTTGGACTCTCCAGCTTTAGTAAATAAACCCCCATGTGTCAATGGACACCAAGCCTGTTTAGGTGCCCCCATAGCAAGCTGCTTGTTGTGGGGGGCACTCAACAGAGGGGAGGGACCAGGAGTGCCTGAGGGCGACCACAGAAGATGAGGCTCGGGGCTGCTGTATGCAATTCTACTGCACAGAGCAGGTAAGTACAATATATGTTATTTTAAAAGAAACATTTTTGCCTTTACAATCCCTTCAAGCCCAACATGCTTTTTTTAAGGCATTCTGGAAATGCGTACGGAAACACATGCATCTGCTTCACACAGGTGTTAATGCAGACTAAGTTCCAGTTCAAACTGGTGCAGTTTTGAAATCGCATCAAAGCCGCATATCGGTGTGATTTGCACTGCTGATTTCATTGTGGCTTGCGACTTCATATAACAGAAGTCTATACAAGTTGCAATGAAACTGGCAAAGAGTAGTGCAGGAACCTTTTTCATAATCACTGTGACATGAGTTGTGGCAATATAAACTGTTCCATTGCTGATAATAGGGTGCAACTTGTCGTGCAATTAGGAAACGTCAAATCGCATGACAAGTCACACTAGTGTGAACCGGAGCTCATAGGGTCTGTACGCCCGTGGAGCAGGAAGGATCGGCGGTCATGTAATCATTGTTTATAAACATCACTTCAGAAATACACTCAGGCAGCCAGTGTGCCCATGAATGGCTGTGATGTGAGCTGTCATTGGAGAGCTCAGATCAAAGGTATGGTCTACAGAGCCAATCAAAGTGGCTCTGTACATTGTGATTGCTATGAACCCATTACAGCCATCACAAGTCTAAACAGTAGTAGTGTTTACAAATATTCAGCGTTCCCCTTCCTCTGTTGTGAATGAGCGAAATGTTAACACAGAAGAAGGAGAATCACAGCAGGGGAGGCGATTGTGGCATCATCTTTTTTAAGGTAAAGAAATAAAAAGTAAATGTAAGCAATCCCATATTGCTGTGTCTGTCTCAATATGTTATATAAAATGCATTTGGGTACAGTGTTACATGAGTAATTGTCAGTCAAACTATCACAGCACTGAAGATGGCCTGGTAATGAAGGTGTGCATACAGACTGGTACGCAAGTGTTACCTCTTTGTGAACAGCGTCATTCACTGCCATGGCCTTCTTGTCGCAGTCGGAGGTGGACGACGATCAGTACATATTTACCTGCAGCCTCGACAACGTCCGCAATTTGTCCAACATCCTGAAGGCCATTCAATTCAAGGACCACGCTGCTTGTTTTGCCACCAGCAACGGCCTTAAAGTCACTGTGGAAAATGCCAAATGTCTGCAAGCCAACGCCTTCATTCAGGTGAGCGGTGCTTCCAGCATCATCGATCTCTCTGCTTTCCAGCATCATCGATCTCTCTGCTTCCAGCATCATCGATCTCTCTGCTTCCAGCATCATCGATCTCTCTGCTTCCTTGTCACTTCACACATTAATATTCCCTTTATGGCGGCCTTTCTATTTACAGGCCGGGATATTTCAAGAATTCAGTGTTCAAGAAGAATCTGTGATTTTCCGAATTAATCTCACCGTCCTTCTGGATTGTTTGACCATATTTGGTGCAAGTGCTGTGCCAGGTAATGGGGGGGGGAGGGGACTTGTAGTACATTGGGATAGCTGGGAAAAATTATATTGGTTAAAAGGCAGCAGAGGGCATGGGAAGTTATCAGATCACAAGATTTCTGGCAGGGTCACCAGATATTTTTGCATTTATTAAACAGGTAAAATAAAATATTTTCTGTGGTTTAACCACTTCCCGCCCACCTGCAATTCATGGCGGACAGGCGGCCGCTGCAGGCAAAGCAATATATACATATGTCGCTGCCTACTTCCGGGTTTCATGTGTGTGCCCCCCTGCTGACACGTGCTGTGATTGTATACAGCGGAAGCCTGTCAGCAAGTCCCGGCCAATGATTCATGGCTGGGACCTGCTAATTGGCCGTGTACAATCACAGCCCAGAGCTCTGTGTTGCCAATCAGCACAGAGCTCTGTACAGAGGGAACGATCTCTCTGTTTCTGTCTCTATATTAGTAAAAGCAGCACACTTTACATACATTGGCGCACATTTAACCCCTTGATAGCCCTAGATTTTAACCCCTTCCCAGCGAGGCTCAGATTGCCCGCCACACTATATCAGTCCCGTTATAAGTCGATGATCACCACCATTAGTAGTATAAAAAAATAAATAAAAATTCCAGTATATATCCCATCATTTGTAGGCGCTTTAATTTCGTGCAAACCAGTCAATATACACCAATTGGGATTTTTATTTATAAAAGACATCTAGCAGAATACATTTTGGCCAAAATTTATGAAGAAATTCGTTTTTGTTTTTTTTTTTTAATTTTTACTGTATAAAGTTTATAGCAGAAAGTAAAACGTTGGTTTTTTTTTCAAAATTTTCCTTTTTCATTTTATATCACATAAAAAACCCAGTGGGGGTCAAATACCACCAAAAGAAATGTCTATTTGTGTGAAAAAAAAGATGTAAATTTTGTTTGGGTACAGTGTTGCATGACTGTGAAATCACCAGTTAAAGTAGTGCAGTGCTAAATAGCAAAAAATGGCCTGGTCACGAAGGGGGTAAAAATCTTCCAGAGATGTAGTGGATATATAAAGGCAGAATAATCCACATTTTGCAAAAACGTCATAAATGCATACACGTTATTACATTTTTGCATTGAATCTCCCAGAGCCTGGCAACCGAGTCAGTGTGCCACTGATGTGATGCACCTTTCCCTGCATTGTTTGCCAAGGTCCCAGCTCTGTACAGAGGTACGGATCTTCTAGTATAGGGTTGGAGGAAGTAAACAATGGACTACAGGTTTGGTGTCAGTGTGATCTATGAGTCCCTCTGCTGCAATGGCAGATGGGAAGTGTAGACTTCCCATTCACAGATTCCTGTGAATGGATTACAGCCTGTGGAGGGGTTGGATAATGCTAATATGTTTCATGTTATTCCCTAAACATGGTATGAAGGGTACACTACTCCTTTAGCCCTGCCAACATGTGGCATATGTTGACAGCATCAGCAGGGGGTTTTACACACACTCCCAATAAGCCATCAAGCTCTTCCACCTATCCCTGGATCATTAGTCAGCCCCACTACACTGCAAATGCCCCAGCCCTCACTATGTTTTCTGAGCTCCATACTCCCAACGGTGGACCAGGGACTGGCAGGGCGGGTGCAGACAAGTAGAGGGGAGGAAGACCATTGAATACCATTCGCTGATCTCCCCTGCCTAGTCAGGACCCTGAAGCATCCTTTAAATGTCACTTCTGGCTTGTGCTGTCTCTTTTCCCTTTTCCTCTTTAGCCAGGGAAGAGGCTAATGGAGTGCAATCTGCGGTCCATTAGCTTTTTTGGAGGACAAGTGAGACCCCTGGGGGTTTATTTACTAAAGCTGGAGAGTCCAAAATCAGACTCCCTTCTGCATAGAAACCAATCAGCTTCTAACCTCAGCTTGTTCAATGAAGCTTTGGCAATGAAACCTGGAAGCTGATTGGTTTCTATGCAGAAGGGAGTCTGATTTTGGACTCTCCAGCTTTAGTAAATAAACCCCCTGGTGTCTAACCGCCTCTCGTCCGCCCTATAGCAGATATATGGCTACAGGGCGGCACGGGTGCACAAAATCGTGTGTGTGTGTGTATATATATATATATATATATATATGTGTGTGTGTGTGTGATTTTTGCATTTCCGGGCACGGGGCACCTACACGGGACCCTACCCGCACCTACCCGCACCTACACGGGACCCTACCCGCACTGCCATTTGTGGCTGTCAATCACTGGGTCCCTGTGCGGCGCCCGGTGATTGCCAAGCATCTCCGATGGGAGGAGAACTGTTACTAAAAAAAACAGTTCTCCCTGTCAGCCCATGCACACTGCTTTGCATGGCTCTGCACAGCCATCCAAAGCAGTGTGCTTACAGTGAAGCACAAACACACAGCACACAGTTAACCCAATGATCGCCCTTCATGTTAACCCCTTTCTGCCCAGTGCCATTAGTACAGTGTCAGTGCTTTTTAGTAGCACTGATCGCTGTATTGGTGTCACTGGGGATGTCAGTGACACCAAGTCAGATGCACGCCACAGTCCCGATATAAGTTGCTGATTACTAGTTAAAAAAAAAAAAAAAATCCCAGTATATATACTGCCATTTGTAAACGCTATAACTTTCATGTAAACCAATGAATTTACATGTATTGGGATTTTTTTTTTTTAGCAAAGGCATGTAGCAGAATACATTTTGGCCTAAATTTATGACGAAATTTGATTTTTAATTTTGTTTTTACTGGACATGTTTAATAGCAAAAAGTAAAAAAAACATTGTTTTTTTTTCTCAAAATTGTCGCTTTTTTTTTTTTATACAAAAAAAAAATATGCACAGGCGATCAAATACCACCGAAATAAAGCTCAATTCGTGCGGAAAAAAAGACATAAATTTAATTTGGGTGCAGCGTTGCATGACCATGCAATTGTCAGTTAAAGTAATGTAGCGCTGTAAACGCAAAAAATGGCCTGGTTAGGAAGGGGGGTAAATCCTGTGGAGGGAAAGCGGTTAAAGAGAACCTGTCATGCCAAAATAGTATCACACAGGGGACTTTTTATCCCCATGTGATAAAAAAATAAAGGGGATGGCTAATTAAAACTGGAGAGTGCAAAATCTGGTGTAGCTCTGCATAGAAACCAATCAGCTTCCAGTTTTTATTGTCAAAGCTTAATTGAACAAACTGAAGTTAGAAGCTGATTGGCTACCATACACAGCTACACCAGATTTTGCACTCTCCAGTTTTTTAGTAAATCAACCCCAAAGTTTAGTGTAAAAAAAAAAAACATTACACCCGAGCACTTACACTTAACTTTTTGGGGGGATTTTAAGTAATCTTCAGGCCTAGAATTATTTTTTAAATGTTTGCAAAAATGGCTTTGGCAGCTAAAGCATTAAAAGATTTAAAGCAGAACTATACTCCCCTCTGATCCCACAGTGCTCTGTCCCAGACGTCACTCCCGCGCATTGCTGAATTTGTGCAGTGAGCTGCGCATGTGCGGCTCAGTGGACAGTGGTGGACAGGCAGGTAGGGTAGCTTTGATGCAGAAGAGACAAAGCATGTCTCTTCTTCATTAAACATCCTGCTTGTTCACCCATTTTTAATTTTTTTACCTACGTTCCACTTTTAAGGGAGCAAATAAGAGAATGTTTGGTAGGGTTTTCATACATCTAACCAGTTTAGCTCTGCATCTTCCAGATCAGTTACATGTAGCTTTATTATGGTCATACGCTACTGAATACATTGCATTGTTTGGACATGGCTAGCCTTTGTTTTGTTGATTCGTTTTTGCTGTATTCTCCATTCACAGCAACTCTGACGGCTCTGAAGATGTGTTACCGTGGCTATGGGCACCCCCTCATCTTGTTCCTGGAAGAAGGAGGGGTGATGACAGTGTGTAAAATTCACACTCAGGAACCCGAGGAGACATTGGACTTTGACTTCTGTAGCACCAATGTAGTCAATAAAATCATTCTGCAATCCGAGGGACTGAAAGAGGCGTTCTCTGAGTTGGACATGACCAGTGACTTCCTGCAGATCACAATGTCACCCACTAAACCATACTTCAGGTATGTCTGCTCTTTAATCATAACCCAAAGAAAAAGGTTTTTCTTAAGCCAGCCATACATGGATCGAAATTCGGTTGGTTCAGCAGGGACCAGACAAATTTTGATCCATGTATGGGCTAGCTGGTCTGATTCGGCTTATGTACAACTAGCCTGTTAGAAGAACAATCAGTGCCACCGATCATCAGTGAGAGTGAAAGAAAATCCCAAATTTTGAATGGTTATGAGAGCAGGAATGGAGTGGAAATCTACCAATGGGGACACTAGCTCTGGTGACAAGCAGTGCAATCCAGAGCATGCAGCTCCAGCTGAACTGTTCTATGCTGTGGCTGTGACAGACGCAGTACAGCACAGGGAACCTATCAATCCTAATTAAAGGAGAAGTATAGACAAAATTCGTTCTGCACTGTTTTCAGCCGACAGTGGGCTAGTCTTCTGCCGGCTGCTCAGCCGGTCCAGGTTAGGGAAAGATCCAGACTTTAAAGTCGGGATTCACCCAGATCCCTGGACCAGCACCTGGCTCAGTCTCTCATCGATCTGGGGGGGGCGGGGTCGAGCAGAGAGCGGTCAATGACAGTCATCCGTCTCTCTGCTGACTGAGAACTAGGCGATCTGCGGTCTTTGATCGCTCGTTTCTCAGTCTTAAACTGGTAGAGGACAGATGCAGTATCGGACCAATGCTGAATCCACCTAGGTAAGTTTTTTAACAAAAATCACAGTGGTCACATGATCGGGAGCCAGTTCTGCTGGCTACCAATCAATAACAAGACAAGAGCTATCTTTTATAAGTCTGTCTCTGTGCTGGGAGCACGCATTGAGCTCTCAGCACAGAAACATTGGCCACCCAATGCTTTGTGCACAGCCATCCAAAACAGTGTGCCTGAGCTGACAGGGAGGGGAACTGTTAGTAAACAAAACAGTCCTCCTCCCCGTGTCAGAGATGCTAGGTAATCATCGTGCACCGGTAGGTAATCACCAGCTGGGACCCGGTGACTGTCAGCCGTGGCAGCGAATAGTGGCGCGGGCAGGGGTAGGTAGGTACCTGGAAATGCAAAAAAACACGTATATATACAAGATTTTGCGCACTTGTGCCGCTCTGTAGCAGTATTTCTGCTGTAGGGCGGTCGGGAAGTGGTTAACAAGGAAATATGTCATTTGCAATTTCCCCCAATCACCCAATAACACATACTGTATCTGTGGTATGTAGGCATTAAAGCTCACCTTTTTGCCACTGCAACCAACTGACAACCGTACTGAGCAGTGTTGTCACCCTCGGACAGGGATTGTTTTAGGATTCCATAACACGCTGTCTTCGAGGTGTTTTGTAGTCCACAGAGATACCGGGGAACAATGCTAACTGATATTGATCTGTGCTCTCTGCCTCAGGACTGCTATCGGCTTACATGTTTTTTGGCTAGATGAACAGCTATTTTGTTTTCTTTGGCACTTGTCTAACAGATATAATTAAACAATTTCAGTTCAGTCAGATTCGGCATTGCTAAATTTGTACACTGAGCTGTGATTGTGCGGCTCACTGTCAAAGGGCGGACAGGCAGGTGAGTAACTTTAATGCAGAAGAGACAAAGCATTTCTCTTCTGCATTAAAATTCCTGCCTGTCCGCCATTTTTTTTTTTTTTTTTTTTTTAAACTAAAGTTTCACCTTAACCCTTTGAGGACCAAGGGAAGTATTTGTCCCATGTTTTTAATTGCCTGTATCATCTGATTAAGAACTTAAAATACTTTTTTTTTTTTTTTTGGGTTTGAGTCAAAATATTAGTTCTTATCAACAAATGGATCTAGCTTTTTGCCAATTATTTCATGAAATGGCTTAGTTACAGCAACTGAGTGTACGAACTTTAAAAACAAAAAATTGATTCTTTTGGCGTTCCGTAATCTTATGGTCAAAATATGGTCAGACCAAAAGGAAGCAACTAAGAGAAATGTATTGGTTAGAGGTTACATACACTTTAAGTGTATCTACATTATATAGTGACTTATTATGCTCTGAATACCACAAGTTGAATGCATTTTAAGGGGATTACACTATATGTATATTGAAGTTTGATCATTATTAATCAAAACCTTGCTGTTTATAAAACAGGTTGTCAACATTTGGCAATGCAGGAAGTGCAACTGGATTACCCATCAATTGTCTAATATGCCTTCCACTGTAAACAGAGACTCAGACAATGGGTGATATGACGGACTTTCTTCTTGTACTCCATGCTTGTCCCACATGATGTATGCTAATGCAGGACAAATCCCAGTCTGAAGAACAGATGGCCCTGCATAACTGGGTGTCCTGCCCCATAGTTTCTATTGAAAACACCTGACCTGAAAATGTCACCGAGCAAAATAAAGCCATAATATGAGCACCTGTACTTAATGGTGGCAGCTTTAAAATGATTTTCTTTTGTGATCTCATCTCTTCCAATAGAATAATCGACTGGTGTGGTTACAAACATGGTGAAGGCGATTGAGAATGGTCCAGGGAATTTAGAGAAGAGGTGATCTTTTTTTCACAGGAAGGGCAATGGCTGATCGACTGAAGATGCAACTGTATGTTAATTTTAAATACCAAGAGACACCTTAGTTGAAGCATTCATTCGCAAATTCAAGGCAAAGGGCACTGTTGAAACGCTACCTGGTCGTGGCAGAAAGAAGATGCTGACTTCGACTGCTGTGCGCTACCTGAAGCGTAGAGTGGAGAGAAGTCCCCGTGTGACTGCTGAGGAACTGAGAAAAGATTTGTCAGATGTGGGTACAGAAGTTTCAGCCCAGACAATAAGACGCACACTGCGTAATGAAGGCCTCCGTGCCAGAACTCCCAGGCGTACCCCCTTGCTGTCTCCAAAGAATAAGAAGAGTCGACTGCAGTATGCCAAAAGCCATGTGGACAAACCACAAAAGTTGTGGGATAGTGTTTCTGTGGACTGATGAAACAAAATTAGAACTGTTTGGGCCCATGGAGAGGATCAACGCTATGTTTGGAGGAGGAAGAACAAGGCCTATGATGAAAAGAACACCTTGCCTACTGTGAAGCATGGTGGAGGGTCAATCATGCTTTGGGGGCTGTTTTGCTTCTGCAGGTACAGGGAAGCTTCAGCGTGTGCAAGGTACCATGAATTCTCTTCAGTACCAGGAGATATTGGATGGAAACGTGATGCAGTCCGTCACACACCTGAGGCTTGGGAGACGTTGGACCTTTCAACAGGACAATGATCCCAAGCATACCTCCAAGTCCACTAGAGCATGGTTGCAGAGGAAAGGCTGGAACATTTTGGAGTGGCCATCGCAGTCACCAGACTTAAATCCGATTGAGAACCTCTGGTGGGACTTAAAGAAAGCAGTTGCAGTGCGCAAGCCTAAGAATGTGACTGAACTGGAGGCCCTTTGCCCATGAAGAATGGGCGAAGATACCCGTAGATCGCTGCAAGACACTTGTGTCAAGCTATGCTTCACGTTTAAAAGCTGTTA